GAAATTCGTGCCGTATTGACCGACTACTCCTTGAAGTCGGAGGATGAGCGAAGAAAAATCGGCGTAAAATGACAGGAAACTAAATCCCGTCAATAGCCGTCTCGACTCGTATAAACGCCGGGGTTACCTGGTTAAATTTAAAATAAATGCCGCGGATGTTTAATGAAGAAAATGCGTAACAATCGTTGTTAACTTATTTATTTTTCTTGAAAGAGCTGCTACCCAAGTTTTTGTTCCAATAAAGACTATTGCCCTTTCGTTAGAGTTTATGTCAAACAACAGTGCACAAGATCAATAAAATGTTATGATATACTCTTTGATTTTAAATGATATACTGAAAATGGTACTAAAGGAAGTAGCACCCGTGGTACAATCCACTTTTTATTTTTTTAAACTTTTTTCTTTACAGTTCAAATCCAACAAGACGCAGAGAGTGATGACAGCGATGACAGCGATGACAGTGACGACGAATCGAGAGATCAAAGCGAGCATGAGCAAAACGCTGAGCAGGCCGAGCATGAAGAGCCCGAGGAGAGAGCTGTGACTGAACAAGAAGAAAAACCCGAGGAAGACCACGAAGACCCATCAGAGCTGAAAGACGAACCTAACAAACAAGAAGAAGAATCAGAAAACGAGTTCAAAGAATGCGAAGAGGAAGCGGAAGATAACATGGAACATGGACCTGACAAACAAAAAGAACAACTAGAAAAGGAATTCACAGAATGCGAAGAGCAAGAGGAAGATAACATGGAAGATGAGGCTGGGGAAGGCGACGAGTTAATTGTGAATAAGGGTATGTTTATCAACCCTCTGCTTCTTTTAAAAAAAGAACTTTGATATATTGAGATTATTTTCATCAATTTGGAGGACTATTGGTGAACGATCTCTCTTCATTTTATACCTTAAACAAATTGTTAGTTTCTACAATTTCGTTACCTCCCTTGCCCTGCTTAACTACGTTCAGCGGTTTATTCGAATAGTGAAGGAACTTTTCCTCATTGGAAAATCTTGGAGCGGTTTTTCTTTCAGCAGTGACAGGAAGCGCTTTTGCGAGGCTTACGTTGTACTACGGTGCCCCAATTTATAACAATCTCGCTATGAATTAGTCTAAGCAGAATTTAAGTATTTAACACACGGTACGTGACTGAGTGTCTTCTTTTTTTCCTTGTGTCATGTGATTATGCAACAGATAAACACCAAGCAGATGATAATCTCCCAGCAGCCTCTGGGCGAGAGTCTCCAAGAGCACCGCTGGCCACGTTTGATGATGACTCCGACCTTGATTTTTTTTACCCAGCGCTCGATGGTATAAAAGAAACGAGTGTGTAAACAACAACACTGTATTCTCAGATGAGTGCATTCGTTATGTAAGAGAAGTACATGTACCTTAAGTGTTGCATTTTTTTCTTGTTTAACAAATGAACTTTAAAATCGATTGCGTAGGTAGGTGTTTGGCCCCTGTAATGACTTTGAAATACTTCAACAAACAGTAGTTTTCGTACATAGTGTCAAAATACGAGCCTGTTGGTTTATGTGAAAATGTAAGTGCTCGTGTCGTGTTATACCAGATACATATGGATTATGATTCAATAGGCTAAATGTAATAAAAAAAACGTGTCAATGTGTTGTTTAGTTAGGTTTTCGACTGTATATGTAACACTTTGTACATGTACTATTAGAGATCAAAAGTATGTTAAGTCCCTTCAGCAGTAGGTAAGCTTTGAATTGGTATAACTTAAAATTATTTTAGAGGCCCATCTCTGTCCTTTGCAGTAATATTACTTCAGATAACACTTCATTAACGAGAGTGAACTTTAAAATGGACAAACAGTGCTTGCTTTATTGGCGGATACCCGAATCAAAGATCGGAGAGCCCTTTTTATTAATTAAAATTTGAGTAATTACTAAACTTAAAGTTACAATCGATTTCTCGCTTAAGCTTAATGTTCAACGTAACCTACATATCTTATATATTCGCCGGGTAGATGGCTGTCTTGTATAACGTTACTAAGCCATATATCCTATTTAATCTAACGCTGTTATCAATACCTTACTTATGATTTGTTTAATTCAACTTAAACATCTGAGATTTTCAGTAGATGGCTGTGTTATATTACAATGCTAAGCCATGAATCATATTTATTCAAATTTTCAATTTGAATTTACCATAATATTATTAGCTATGATTTGTTTAATTCAATCTTGACAACACATAAAATATGACATAAGTTCCGTAGATGGCTGTTGTATAGCAATGCTAAGCCATAATTCGCATTTATTCAATTTGAAGTTAAGTACTCAGTAGCAGGCTGTATTGAATAGCAATGTTAAGCCATGAATCATATTTACTCAATCTGAAGTTACCATTAATTTCAAGTTACTATTAACAGCTTACTCATAATTGTTTCATTACAAGGTAACTTCTTATATATTTCGTAGATGGTTGTGTTGTATTACAATGCTAAGCCATGAATCATATGTATTCAATCTGAAATTACTATTGATATCTTACTCATGATTTGCTCAAAAGAAAAAAAAAAACATCCTATGTAATTAGTAGATGGCTGCGTTACTTAACAATGCTAAGCCATAAATTTTATTTACCCAAAAGAAAAAAAAAGTACCATCCTACGTAATTAGTAGATGGCTGCGTTACTTAACAATGCTAAGCCATAAATCTTATTTACCCAAAAGAAAAAAAAAGTACCATCCTACGTAATTAGTAGATGGCTGCGTTACTTAACAATGCTAAGCCATAAATCTTATTTACCCTACTGCACGCATGTACTAAGTGCTCAGGTCAGATGATGCACGTGTATCTGACTCATTTATTTATTCATTTGGATTTATTGTTATCTTGACTCATAAGTAAATTTTGCAGAAGCTTGCACAAATCAAAAGGAAAAAGGTATTACTGACGTAATACAGAAAGACAGGAGGACGAACATCAAATAAGTCATATGTATCAGTCAATCTCTTTTGGTTCATTTTGAGCTAACGAATGAAGATGCTGTTAACGGATACAAATGGAAGTGTAGAATGCTGTATGTTGTCAAGCTCGTCTGCCTAAGTAAATAAAAATCATAAAAAAATGTGGTTTATTTTAGATGACTATCCATTAACCATTGACCCCTAAGAACGATTAGCATCTAATTTCTCCCCTCAGTCAAACAGTAAGGTCATGAGAATAAAGGAAATGATCACCAGCTTAAGAAGTTCTCAATTGTTTAACAAATTTTCCTCGTCAGCATCTTATAAACATGTACAGAAGACAACATGGAGAATATGCCTACTGTTGTTAGGTTGTATATCTATCAGCGTAGAAGACATAGGTGAATTTTTGTTGATTAAAACTTGCCGCATCTCAATAAAATGCCATAATTATCCCAAATTTTCTCATTCGGTCTGATTGCCCACCCCAAACCCAGAAAAAAGTTGTAATCAGGACGGAGTATTTTGGCAGACTGCATAGAGCTAGAAATGTCATTAGTAATGGATAAAATAGTCTGTTTCAGCTCTATTCATCCGTCAGTGTCTTTACATGTGTGAGAGGGTATAAGGAAACGTTTGACCTGATATGTCGCAGATTACCAAACCCATATTTGCAAGTAAACAATCAGAAACGCAATCTAACATCCCTCCAATCCTACGATATTTCGTCACTGTCCTGATATGCCACGACCAAGAGATATTAAATTGTTTTATAATCTCATGGCCACGATATCATGGCCACTTTCAAATTAAATAGAAAATAACACATGGGTGTGCGTAGTTATGGAATCTCTCTTCAAATTTCTCGTTCGCTGCGCTCACTCGTGAGATAACAAGTTGAAGACGTTAAGAGAAATTCCATATCTCCAAGTAGTCATGTATGATTTCTTTTCGTTACATAAACACCGTTGGCTTTTATATTACTAACAAGAAAATTCGGCGAATGACCTCTGATGAGAATGGTGAACAACACCTCGCCACTTAGGGCCTGTTTACATGGAGGTGGGGGACCCCAGGTAGGTGAGGTAACCCGCCTAGGTGGGGTAACCCGCCTTTCCATATAATCTCTCATTTTATCTTGATCACGTTTACATGATAGGTAGGGTAACCCGCCAAGGCCGAACCCGCCTAGCCGGGGTCGCATTCATGGCCCGCCAGGCGGGTTTCCCTTTCTGCCAGGTAGGGGGTAACCCTGTCAGCCGGGGTGACAATTTGCCATGTAAACGTCTTAAGGTAGGCTAACCCGCCTAGCCGGGGTCGCATTCATGGCAAAAACCTCAAAAGCTAAACACGTGTTTTAAAACTTTGAGCATTTCCTAGACGTCTCAAGGCAGAAATCACCAGAAACCGTAACGGACACACGAGAGTGTAAAATGTTCACATATCGGAATATTAGGCGTTGTAAATCGACCATATTTCGTTTCCCAAACTATTCCTTATAACGTATAAGTCTACGATTCCTCGCGTAATCTAAAACCGCGTAACACAACGCGTGACGCTTTCATGAATAAATACATACATGTCCGAGAATTAATCTTTCGTCTTTCTCGAGATGTGAGCTTGAGACGCTTATGCTCAAACTCCCTAACTGCAAGCGCAACAACAACCTCAAGAAACCTCACCCCAGCACCCCGGGGTTGTAAGATTGCATGTAAACGTGTTTTATTTTTCGACCACGGCTAGGCGGGTTACCACACTGTAAATGTAGGTTTTATGACTGCGAGACTTGGTACAAAACTTCATTATTTGAGTTTAGCTGGTGTTTACAGGTTGGAAAAAAATATATGTATAGATAAATATTGCCGCCATAACTAGACTTGAGAGCACTCCTACTCGCTATTAAATTGTATGTTTGTCGAAGAGTGCTGAAACATTGACATTAGCTGACATAGAATCAGTGGAGTCGGAGTTCTTAAATTTGCGTTGTATTTTGAGCTAAAAACCTCCCAGAAAGGGAGTTAAAAAATACTTCAATGAGGAACTCGAAAAAAGTGTTGAAGACAAAAATAGTATTAATATAAGCACGTCAACACAATTTGCACCACATACGTGGCAAATAATTGACTTGAAAAGAGCGATGTTGTTGACTGTCAGATTCTGAAGCATTTTCACTGAGAAACACGCGCAGCGTGGAGAGAAGAATTTGAACCATCTACACTGAACAACAATCAACGGGGCGAGTTTGCTGGGAATAAAAAAAAATTTGGAAATCACTCCGACAGAAGTGTTAAACAAGACCAGATCGCAGTCCGCAGAATTCCTTGAGTTCCAGTGCTGCTAGTATTTTTCTTCAACTCTGATTCCTGAAACTGAAAATTTTTAAAACTAATGAGACGAACTGATTTGAAATCTCAAAGTGATTAGCATTTTTTAACTTTCTGTGTGTTCGTTTCCACGTGATGAGGTTTGTAAAACAGTTCTTATCGGCATAAAAGGTGATAGTCTTGTTTTTCAACCATAATTTATCCCTTTGTTTGTTGTGTATTGTAACTCTCGTCATCTTTTCGCGCCGTTTGTTGACTCGTACTATTCTTCTCACGGCCACTCCATAGAGTGCCTGACATATTTAATCGCCGTAACTTCAAAATAACATCACTTGAGATTTTACTGAATTTAGAAAGAGTGAATAACTAGACGTACCTTCCTGGTACGCTTCGGCAGCAAATCAGGCTCGTTTGTTATCGCCAGGGGTATATTGGCTCGACTGCGTGCCAAAATGGTACGATTAGGTGAGAACTGGGTGAAATATCTATTAGATCATGCAAGAAAGAACACGTGGATGATTGTCGCGAGCGCTGGCGCTGGCAAGAAGAGCGAGAGTTTTTCAACAGGCTGTATTTTAGTGCAAAGCAAAAAGGCAAAAAAGGTTATGAACTTCAGTGCCTTCAGAGGATGAAGTCCAACATCATATCACAATCTGCCGCTTCAATTAAACAATGGTCGAAAGTAAAAGTGAGGATTCTGTTACAACTGCAAAGAGAGCTGAGGTGAGTCTGTATGTGTTATCATTTCATCGGGCGATACGATCCTTTAAAAGTTTCAGTAGTCTTACTTTAAAAATCTTGCTCGTGCTAAACAGGGCATGTGTTTTGCTGTGGGTTTTTGGTAGATGTTTGAAAGCTCTTCGTGGGTAAACAAACCATGCCTTCCTCGAGAGGTCGATTATCGTCGTGGACAAACTCGTAAGAAATACACCATTTGCTTGTTAGCTGTTAGTTCAATATGGCCATCGTGAAAAAAACGAAAAGTGATTGTGAGTAAGGAGCGTTTCCTTGTAACTGACTATTTAATACGCAATCAGGTTTGGGGAATTTGATTTTAAAAGTGTTGCATTAATATGGCCAACTTTAATTACAGGAAAAGGAAAGTGGAAAGGGAGCATGCCTGTATGTGTCCTCAGCAAAAAGTTCAGATTCAACAACAATCATCATCAAGAAGCTGGAGACCATTAGGATTTACTGTTAACATTAGGAATCAAGCATTGCATCAGCTTCACAGTTATGTGCCTCCATGAGGATGGCTCTTATTGTGTTGGAAGACTGTGAAGAAAACAATTTCATTGAGACTATCAAGTAAGTATCCCCTTTGTTTGTAAGTCTTTCCACTCTTAAATACTTCATTGTGAGTGGTCAAATAAAGTTCAATTAAATGCATGATAACAAACACAAAAAATTATGCACTTCTGATAGGCTAAAAACAAGTGCATTTTTCATGCAGTACAAGTGCAAAGTTGATCAGAAACACAAGTGCAGATTATAAATAGTATGCTGTTAAAATTGTGAATAAGAGCTTGTAAATTTTTCAAAGACTACATGTGTACAAATTGCACTTGCCTAATATGCACTCTTGCAATTATGTTATCGTTGAAAAATTTACTTGTGCTTACTATTACCAAATTGTTTTGAGAAGTTATTACATGAACAGGATTCCTTTAAAATGTTGTATGGATTACGTGCAACTGCATGAGTTAGCATTGTGAAGATTTCACATTGTGGATTGTGGACAATAAGTGACAATAATTAATAAACTTAAGGGTAATTTTCACTGGCTTTTTGAAGCTTTTAACTATAAATTCTCTCTGAACATTTTGCTTTCAGTAACTTTCCACTTGTTTGCTTTTCTATAGAAGTTGATGTAAGTGTTCTAAAAGCAGTATTCATTTTTAATTCATAGGAATAAAAGTTTGAATTCGATGTAATCTTCGCTACACCTCAGACCAAAAAGCTCTGCTTTTTCTCCTTTTTCTCTCAACAGTTAGTGTCCTTTTCTTGTCTTTTTAACTACAGTGTAAGTTCTGCTAAAATTGTGATTTCAAGATTTTGTTGCACAAAAATACTTGGCTATAGGATGCACCTTAATTTCAGCATTAACTTTCCAATTGAGGAAAGAATTTTCTTGTAAAAACCATGTGCCTTAGAGCCAAGAAACTACGGTAAATTCTCTTTGAACATTTTGCTCCATTTCTCTCTACCAAAATTTGTCACTATATATTTTGTGGTGTTTGTTTCCCAAAACCTGTTGAAGATTCTTTCTCTCCTAGACAGTCATGGCCTCAGTGGCTGTTTCAATGAACATACTTGGTCATCATAACCTATTTTGTTTCAACAGATCACCAAAGGATGATGATGCAACGAGCACGCACCCATTGTATTTATTTCTTCTGGACCCCTGTCAGGTAAAGCTGTTCCTTTCTCCCTGGTTACTTATATCACTATGGTAACTGGCCAAAGTAACCTCCTCTTATTCTTTATTAAGGGTTAAAACCAATTATATGAGTTCTTTGAGACAGAGCCAACCTCCTTGATCAGTGGTAAAAGAAGAGGCTCTGTAGAAATGTAGGTATTGTTAAAACTAATTTTGAGAAAAAGAGAGTGGTCTAAAACCTATTGTTTATTGTACCTGTAATGATGAACCTATGTCATTGAAGCTTTACAGGCCAGTGATTTTCCATCTCTTCTCATTTTTTCCTAACATCTTGCATGAGTTAATACAGTAATAAATTTAATGATAGAAAAGTGTGGTGTGTTGCATGCTTACCAAAAATAACAACCATACAAAGTCAAGGGCATGTACATGTAGGCACAACTTATATATTTTGTCCCTTCTAAGTATTGGTTAAAAGATTAATTTTACAGTGTGTTTTTGAATATGTTTCTTATGATACAGCTTGCAAATAATTATATACTGTTGCATAGGGCAATTACAAAAAGTAATAGCTTTTTTATAAAGGGTAACTCAGCTGTAAGTTTCCTACATGTAGTAATTAACACCTCAAAGATTGACTCGTTTGAACTGTTCTCAGCAGTGGTTTGATCTTTATGCCAATTCTTTTTTACTCTTGATTGTAGTGTGCAATTTTTCCAAGTATTGATTGACAGTTGTTGCAGTACTGTTACATGTTATGACTACAAATTTACAAGTTTTTCCTGGATTCTGTCAGGTACTTGATGCAGTACATTGATGAGCTTGTGTTCAAATGCTTGACACTGGAGTGTGATTTGGGAAGTGCAGTAAATTGCCTGATAATGCAACCAGGACAATTTGCAGGTACATGTATCTATCATGTAGAGTTTGGTTGAGTCATGCTTGCTTTTTCATTGCAAAATGCCTTTCATTATTTTTCAGAGTATATTCAGAGTGACAGTGAATTTTGAGTGGTGTATTAATATTATGCCTTAATCCCTCAAAAAAGACAAAACAAAACAAAAGAGAGGGAAAAAAACCAGGACAGTCATCAAATTAACAGTGGATTTCTTTTTTAAATTACCCAGCCAATTGGTATGTGCTTTGGGTTAAAAATTAATTCATTTTAATCCATTACTAAGCAATGGAATTAACTGCAAGCAAATCAAACCACCAAACCAAATTCTTTTTAATAATTGGTAACTCATTTTGTAAAACATCTTGGTTCTGGTTTTCAGTTTCTCCCTGGACATACAACTTTTTTGTAGCAAACACAAAACAAAATTAAAATTAATATAATTGAGCAATGAAGCTGTGTGCATATTGAAAATGTTGTTGGGAGCCATACATAATTTGGCCCCTTTAATGAAATTGTAAGGTCACTTGAAAATTTCTTAAAATGTTCTCTCAGTTATAATTAGTTAGATTTTACTTCAATTCAGCTTGTTTCCTTTTCATTTTATTGTGACACACAATATAGCCCTTTTCAGTCTGGTGAATACTTGCACACCTTGTAAAACACAAAATATAGTTGCCAAATAATATGATTCATGTAGCTTTATAAGGGAGACATTGTCTGAAAAATTTCTTCAACATGTTGTTGCAGTTACTCCCAAATCAAAGAGGCCTGGCATTGTAAGAAAAAGGAAATTTGATGCAGATTTTCTATCATCAAGGAACAATGATTGTGAAGGTATGATATTTGATTAACCCTTTTACTCCCATTAGTGACCAAGAAAGAATTTCTCCCTACAATATCAATACAATATCAAGTGGACAAGTGATGAGAATGAAGAAAAATATCAGTTAGGTGATTATAAGTTGACTCAATACCAAATTCTCCAAACTAACATCACAAGAACTGTATGGCAGACAGTGAGGAGAAATTGCTAATTAGATCTTGGGAGTTAAAGGGTTAAGTGCTATCTGATGGAACAAGCTGCAAAAGGAGCCAATACATTTATAACTTGCAAGCCTTTGAAAACTGCATACCATGACTTTGTGTTCTCTCATAATTATAATTTTCCCTGCTTATAACCTAGTTGCATAGTTGTAGGTCAGAGTAAGTGGGCTAGTTGTAGCAACTTGTCTGCTTTATGTGTTTAGCACTTGTTTTGTAAGGATTTGATAATATTTGATACTTTATATTTGAAAAGTTTTGGATTTTTGATGTCAACACCTAGAGCTTCAATGTGAACCAAAAGTTGGCTGCTGACATAATGTACAGTACTTACTTACAGTATATGGGATGGAGCAACTCATCCTGCAACCTAAATGAAGCACTCCTCCATCCCTGTTGGGACTGTTTTGGTTGCCCTTGTAATATTATGTAGTGTTAGTAGTACAATCATGCACTTGAGGAGAACTTTTGAGATTACTCGAGCTTGTGGTTTTACATGTATGTGATGGTCTTATGCAGTACAGAATCCCTCTAATTCCAAGTTTTAACCAGGTGCTGCAACAGCAAGCCCTAAAGATTGGCAAATTCCAGCCTCAAATTGGGGTCTACACGCACCTTCAATTTTGTCATATTTACATGGCTATGACAGCTAACAATGTGCATATAATCACATTAATCCACTCTTGATCCCTTTATCACCTATGCATCAGCAAGACTAATCATGAGGAGAAGAGTGGTGTGCCTATCCCAGCAAAGCAAATGTCATGGGGTGATGTGAACCACACACAGCTGCTGCCACTCCATCCATATCACTATTATCATCATGTATCAAATGGAAAAAGTAATGTTCATGTAAAGAAAGACAGAGGTGGCACAGAGAGCACCATTATGTCTAGTGGGTTTATGCAGAGTGATAAGTGGCAACCTTCAGTGGTTACAAAAGAAGAGGGCAAGAAACAGGCCATGGAGGAAACGCCACAAGATATTTCCTTCCCAAAACAAAAAGAGGCAAATAAAAGCTGAATGGCTCAAGTGCTGATTACAATGACAAAAACAATCAAGCTGGAACAAAGACAAAAGCTGATAAAAGTGACAATAGTAAGTATTATTATAATAGTAAGATAATAAATAGGTAGTCAGGTTTGGTGAATTTTAAAAGTGTAACAGCTGTATTAATATGGCCAACTTACTGTAATTACAGGAAAAGGAAAGTGGAAAGGGAGCATGCCTGTATGTGTCCTCAGCAAAAAGTTCAGATTCAACAACAATCATCATCAAGAAGCTGGAGACTATCAGGATTTACTGTTAACAAGGAATCAAGCATTGCATTAACTTCAAAGTTATGCGCCTCTGTGAGGATGGCTCTTATTGTGTTGGAAGACTGTGAAGAAAACAATTTCATTGAGACTATCAAGTAAGTATCCCTTTTGTTTGTAAGTCTTTCCATTCTTAAAGATTTCAATGTGAGTGGTCAAGTAAAGTTTGATAATTAAATGCATGATAATATATATGAAAAAATTATGCACTTCTTATTGGCTGAGAACAAGTGCATTTTTCATGCAGCACAAGTGCAAAGTTGTAACACAAGTGCAGATTATAAATAGTATGCTGTTAAAATTGTGAATAAGTGCTACACGTGTACAAATTGCACTTGCCTTATGCACTCTTGCAATTATGTTGTCTTTGAAAAATTTACTTGTGCTTATTAACACCAAATTGTATTGAAAAGTTATTACCTGAACAGGATTCCTTTAAAATGCTGTATGGATTACATGCAGCTGCATGAATTAGCATTGCAAAGATTTCATTTTGTGGATTGTGGACAATAAGTGACAATGAATATAAATTTCAGGGTAATTTTCACTGGCTTTTTGAAGCTTTTAGCTATAAGTTCTCTCTGAATATTTTGCTCCATCTCTCTCCACCACAATTTGTCACTATGTATTTCACTTGCTTCCCAAAAACTGCTGAAGATTCTTTCTTCCTTAGACAGTCATGGCCTCAATGGCTGTTTCAGTGAATATACTTGGTCATCATAGCCTTTTTTGTTTCAACAGATCATCAAAGGCATGCAATGAGCACACACCCATTGTATTTATTTCCTCTGGACCCCTGTCAGGTAAACCTGTTCCTTTCTCCCAGTAGTTACTTATATCACCATGGTAACTGGCCAAAGTAGCTTCCTCTTATTCTTTATGAAGGGTTAAGACCATTTATATAAGTTCTTTGAGACAGAGCCAACCTCCTTGACTAGTGGTATAAGAAGAGGCTCTGTAGAAGTGTAGGTAGTTGTTAAAACTAATTTTGAGAAAAAGAGGGTGGTCAAAAATCTATTGTTTATTGTACCTGTAATGATGAACCTATGTCATTGTGGCTTTACAGGTCTGTGATTTTCCATCTCCTCATTTTTTCCTGACATCTTGCATGAGTTAATAGTCAGTAGTAAATGATAGAAAAGTGTGATGTATTGCATGCCTAATGAAAAAACAACTATACAAAGTTAAGTGCATGTAGACACAACTTAATATATATTTTGCCCCTTCTAAGTATTGGTTCAAAGATTTACAGTGTGTTTTTGAATATGTTTCTTATGATATAGCTTGCAAATATAATTTATACTGTTGCAGAAGGCAATAACAAAAAGTAGTAGCTTTTTAAGAAAGGGTAAATCAGCTATAAGTTTCCTACATGTAGTAATTAACAACAGAAAGATTGACTGGTTTGAACTGTTCTCAACAATGATTTGATCTTTTTGTTAATTCTTTTTTACTCCTGATTGTAGTGTGCAATTTTTTTTAGTTTTGATTGACAGTTGTTACAGTGCTGTTATATGTGTGACTATAAATTCACAAGTTTTTCCTGGATTCTGTCAGATACTTGATGCAAGAGCAGTACATTGATGAGCTTGTGTTCAAATGCTTGACACTGGAGTGTGATCACCTGATAACGCAACCAGGACAATTTGCAGGTACATGTATCTATCATGTAGAGTTTGGTTGAGTCATGTTTGCTTTTTCATTGTAAAATGCCTTACATTATTTTTCAGAGTATATTCAGAGTGACAGTGAATTTTGAGTGGTGTATTAAGCCTTAATCCCTCTTTGAAAAGAACACATTTCCAAAAAAAAAGACAAAACAAAACAAAAGAGAGGGAAAAAAAAACAGTGGATTACTTTTTAAATTACCCAGCCAATTGGTATGTGCTTAATTCATTTTTTACCGTTACTAGGCAATGGATTTAACTGGAAGCAAATTAAACCACTAAACCAAGTTCTTTTTAATAATTGGTGGCTCAATTTGTAAAACATGTTGGTTCTGGTTTTCAGTTTCTCCCTGGACATACAACTTTTTTGTAGCAAACACAAAACAAAATTAAAATTAATATAATTGAGCAATGAAGCTGTGTGCATATTGAAAATGTTGTTGGGAGCCATACACAATTTGGTCCCTTTAGGAAAATTGTAAGATCAATTGAGGATTTCTTAAAATGTTCCTTCAGTTACACTTATTTAGATTTGACTTCAATTCAGCGCATTTCCTACATGTATTCATTTTATTGTGACATGCAATATAGCTCTTTTCAGTCTGGTAAATACTTGTAAACAAAAAACGTAGTTACCAAATAATAATGTGATTCATGTAGCTTTACAAGGGAGACATTAAAAATTTCTTCACAATATTGTTGCAGTTACTCCCAAATCAAAGAGGTCTGGCATCGTAAGAAAAAGGAAATTTGATACAGCTTTTCTATCATCAGGGAACAATGATTGTGAAGGTATGATATTTTATTAACTCTATTACTCCTGTTGGTGACCAAGACAGAATTTCTCCTTACAATATCAATACAATATCAAGCAGACAAGTGATGAAAATAAGGAAAAATATCAGTTAGGAGATTAAAAGTTGATTCAATACCAAATTCTCCAAACTAACATCACAAGACCTGTATGACAGACCGTAAGGAGAATAATTTTGATTCACATCAACGCTATTAATGTTATTGCTTCAAAACAGGATTTTTCATCACTGGATAAAGTCACCATTTCATTGGAGGACATGGAGAAGAAGGTCATGGAAGTTCTTACAAATGAAAGAAAAGCGTTTGGAATTAGGGACAAGCAGTCATGAAAGCTTTTATAAGCAGAATTTTCCAGAGTAAATGTCCACTGTTATTCGCTTGCTCTAAAAAAGAGTCTTAATATGTAAAGTAATCAATAATTATCAATTTTACTACTAACAGTGCATGTAACAATACCAAACAGAAAATCTCATGTTGGAACTAGGGGTAACATTGAGAATTGTAATGAAATGTTTTGTAAACAAAATAGTGAGGAAATCAACATTGCAACAGTCTGGTATTTACAGTTTGAGTAATTTTTTAATTTCTAATTACTTACCCAAGAGCTTTTTGGCAATAATGAAATTGATGTATTTCATTTCTTCATCTGCGTAGTTATTAACTTTTAGACCCTACAGCTTAATGAGTAAAGATGCACATCTATTCCTTTTAAAGCTCAATCCCAAATAGATGCAACTGACTTCTACGTTAGAGGTCACATGAGAAATATACACTTGTGATAAAAAAAACCTTTATTGAATTTTTGGATCAATATCAGTATCTGGGCAACTGCCCACCTACCCCTCCCCTAACTCAACAACAGTCAATTGACAACAAGTTAAGGTTGATGTTGGGTTAGGGGAGGGGTAGGTGGGCAGTTGCCCAGATGCTGATATTGATCCGAATTTTTTAATCAATATTTACATGTATACTTATCAAAGTTACTGGCAATAAAATTATTTTTGTGATAAGAATTTTGGTTCTTTATAAGAGAAAGTGCGATCAGGGGAATTAAGAGTGTGACAGGTCATCTAAAGCAAACCCGTCAAGTACAAGTTTTAAATTACTGATTTTGAAATATGCTGAGGCAGTCTGACTTTACACTTCAGAAGTTTGCAAATACCAAATCAACAACAAGGACCTTTAGCAGTAAGGAACTGAGGCAGCGCCGAGGAAGACGTCACTTAAAAAATGTATTTATATTTTATGTTAAAATTTTGCGGATGGCTGGGTGTGTTCACGGTTTCTCACGACGCTTCACTGAAACTTCAGCATAACGTATGTGAGCCGCTTTGAGTTCCAAATGGAAACTTATTTTAAAGCTTCCGTTCACAGATCACGCAAATTTTGGTGATTTCATTTTGTTTTTTACAGGGCAGCTAAGTAATTTACAAAGGTTTAGTAGGTACCTGCTGATCAGCTATTATTTTGCCAACTGTTATGATATTTTGTTTTGCCTTGTCCTTGTTGCCATTGGCGTCGTGGTTCGCGTTAAGGTCCCTGGTACTTACCCTGTAAGATAAACTTGGTCGTAAACTTTGTCGTCAAGACAAACAAAACGTGCTTGTGTTGTAGAAGTAATTAGAGTTTTGGCGCAATTTTCGCGGCACGAAACTAAAGTCGGTCACAATGAAAACAACAATGTAACTATTTGGAGGCTCAAAAGGTTACGGTTTGTAAAATTCAGCTAGTTGCTCATAAAATCCCCTTATGACAAACTTTAGAGCAGTGATAAACCAAAGTTGTCAGACCAGATGTACATTTTTTTCCTGCCGCAGTGATTAGATCAGAAATCTATACACCGAAATCTATATTGCTTGCATTTGAACATTGACTTTTAGTCAGCAGTAAAACCCATCAACCGAGATTTATATTTCATGTTAAATCGAACAGTCCACGAAGTCAAAAAAGAGCGTCCCCAATGGCTATTCGGGATCCGGGATTGGTCTTATTTAAAGGCCTGGATCCGAGAATTTAGTGTAAGAAGGGGGCGAGATGCGGGAATGATGTTATGCCGGCGGGACACGGGAATCGGCGATTTTAAGGGGCGAGATACGCGACTGAAATAATCACTTGAACGAACCAAGAACGGGAATGTCCGTTGACGAGAATTTATGATGAAATTGATCGGACTGGTCAGCGACACTTCAGTAATTGCGCAGGAATTAAAATTCTATCAAAAGCGAAGTTGCCAACTTACCAAAAATCCTTAACGGCTCAAAGGGTAAGGTGGCATCTAAAACTGTTGCGTCAATTGAAGTGCTTAACGGCGTAAAGAGAAACTCCAGAAAGTGTCGGAATTATATCGATGTGAGGCTCTTAACCCCTTGAGTTGCATGACACTAGACGTGGAGGATATTCACTCAGTTATGCATCACAAATATAAACTTTTCACGGTGTTAGATTACGTAAGAAAGTTTGGAAATGCAGCCAAAGAAGGTTTACAGAGGCCAACCCATTAGGCGGCGTACTCTTTTAAATCAAAATTCTTGGTATCCTTTACCAGAACGTGCCATTATTCTGTCGGCCATACAAGTAATTTAACCGTTACCTCCTGTACTGGATGGCACCACAGAGCATATAGAAGATGAGGGACTGGACATAAACATTTGCCGCAGCAACAACAAGAGCTTTAACTCCCCCGTGGTGCCTCTGTCAGACAGATATTCAGGCGGGCGAACCGGTTAGCCTCAAGCGTTCTGACTTCGAGGAGTCGCAAAAAAACAGTGGGAAACAAGACAAAGAGGAAAATGGGGCTGCGGCTTTGGTAGAAGTATTCGCTTCAATAACAGAATTGTGTTCAGGTAATTTTTATTTATTTCCCTTGCTATGGCACAATAGGATTGCCGTCACCTTTAGTGTTTTATGCAGTTGTTGAGATTGTTATGCGACACTGACTTCTTTACTTATACGCTTGTGTGTGATTGAAGTTAAATCCGAAGGAAGTCGTTACCGTGAATAGCGTACTTAGTTCGTGCAAAACTTTGAAAACTTCTGAATGAACAATATCATCATTTTGGTGAAAAGAGATAAACTTCCGCCTTACGGTGGCCAAAGACTTCAACGGATCAATGCCGGTTGAGAAAATCACCACCAACCGAAGAGGCCCTCTTACGTTGGCCGGTATAAGCCGTCGGAATTACGGGATTGAGAGAAAATATTAGTCGGGATCGCTTGATTGAAGAACATTGTTGGATACCCTCAAGAAAGCATTGATTACGATCATTAAACAAAAATCCTTAAGCAAAAACACGATTCTTTCTCATAAACCTTATATGAGCCCATCGGGTGAACTCACTGTTTGAAATGTGCACTTGATTTCTACCCACAGAAAACTGCTCGGTAGAAAAAAGAACCGGGGTTTTTCGTCAAGCGAAAAATATTAAAATATTGCAAAGTAAATTACAAACGGAAAATTTAAACCTGATGAGGTCAACTACCTTTTTATTAATTACAATGACTTATGACCACCGATACTTTCAAATCGGCACTCTAATCCCCACGGTATCAACGAGTACTTTTCATTCAACTAGTTTGTTCTTGTTTAATTAAACAATAATGATCGTAATGTAATCGTGTATAAATAGTGGAATCAGCAGAAGCAGCAGCTGCATGACACAGATCACTTTTCGATGGAATGTAGAAAAATTAAAACGAAATAATCACAATGGCTTAGCGAGACAGAGGGGTTACCACAAGGAGCCGATTTGAGCCCAAAGTGAAAAAAGGAATATTCTCTGAAGTGCAGGGCGCGTGGAAACTAAAACAATTTACCCGCAAAAAAAAAAACTCATTACAAAAACATGGAGATGAGTATACATTCAAATTCTGAAATGTGTCTTCTCTGGACCTTTCTCTGTTTTCGATAGACATTAAAGCCGTTTGTCGTTATTTAGTTCTTTTCATTAATGTCTAGTCTCCAGATTCAAGTGAATCTTCTGAAAAATTGAAGAGAAAGGTTCAATCGGGTAAGTTTAAAATCAGTTCTGTACATGTACTCTGAACCTGATAAGAATCGCTGATAACACGTGGCACTTAAAAGGTTCTCTTCCACTGTCAAATTGAAGACAAAGCACTGAGTCATACGACTATAAGATGGTCTCGATGGGGCGATGGTTTTTACGGCCAACGGTTAAAATTTTGGCCATTTTACAACAAACGGTTAACCCAAAATGACACAAGATGACTCGTAATAGAAAGAGACAATTCTATAAGGCTAAAATTTTTACGACTGACAGTTAAAAATTTGTCAATTTTTACGCCTAACAGCAAATTTTTCGGCCGTAGTACGGCTAACGGTTAATCTCATTGAGACCCCCCTTTAAGGGTATATTCAGACAATTCCAGCAGCCGTAGTAACGGTCTTAGACTTAAGAAGAATTCAGGTGAAATCCAAAATGGAAATGGTATGCGTAGCAGGTGAAGACCTGAGGAGGGAAATTCGTTCAGTTCGTATGAACTTGAAAAGTATCGGCCCACACCTTTTCATAAGTATTTAAAGCGCTCGAAAATGATCGATCCTCTTCGGATATGTGGCGTGAATTTTCCAATATTGTTTTTTAATTGTTAATTTGGCTGACAAAGAATGAAAACATACATGAAATAAACTGATTTTCTTTGACGTAACTCGATCGTCCACCTTGAATCTCATGTTTCATTTCTATTTTAGACATTTTGGTGATACCTTATTCATGTTCCACCGTATTTTTTCGCTCATACAACTGCCGAGTGACCCAGTTAACGATTTGCTTTTCTATTATTTTATCGTGTAAGCAGAGAACTCCATAGCAGATGAAACTAATTCGGCGACAGTGGATCCCAAAGAGAATGATGAAGTATGTCACTTCTTGAGGTCTGTTCATGTAAATGTTTCTTTTCAAGCTAGAGTTGAAAACTCGATTCCTGGGTTGATATACGCGCATGCGATAAACACAAAACCAATGTAGGATCTTTTCTTTCTTTATTCCTTTTCTATTCCTCGGGGTGTTATTATATCGAAGCGGTCAACTGAAATCATTACGTGAAGAAATCACCTAAGTATTGTGATCATAGCTTAAGAATAATCTCGATTTTAGAAACGAGCACGTGGCAATTAAAAGAACTAAAAGAAAGTTAGAAAACGAGTGATAAGTTTCGCTTTGAGTAACAACTACGAACTAGGAAACATAATCACATAACAAGTTATTGCTTACCAACGTTCGCGGGTCTTGATTACTTTATTGAGAATTACGGGCTCACTTGTCTTTTATCTTGATCACACGGCGTCTTATCCTGAAATGAATCGCTAACTGTGATTTTCTGTCTTAAAGGAACTAATCACGGGGGCGTCAATCTTACCAGAAAATATTTCGCCACTTTTCTCAGCTCGGAAGCGGTAACATTTAGCTTCAACGGAAGCAATTACAGTACAGGCATTGTGGGTAAACTGTGATGTGTATTATATTGTATTGTGCTGTAATGTGAGGGTCTCATGGAGCTAACCGATAGCCATAAAACGGTCAAACATTAGGCGTTAGGCGTAAAATTAACAAATTTTAATTTTTTTACTAGTTAAAAACAAGATAACAGCAAAAATTACTCTGCTACCAGGAAGGAAAAGAAAATAACCTTCATCCGTAAAAACCATCACCCCCGCACCCCCCTCCCCCACCCCTTGAGATCCTCCAATATGGCTTGTACAGCCAATCTTTGAACAATAAAACGCGATACTGACCTGGTGCTTCTAGATTCTCCCTGCCATCACTGATATCGGGAATGATTTCCAAATAAGAATTCAGAGGCGTCAAAATTTACTCAGTTAAGCGCCTCTTGAAGCCTTGAGCCTCTTGAAGCTGAAGAAGTGACGGGTCACTGGGTAAATGGCAATCGAAGACAATCTATATCCAAACAGCCGCCATTCTTGATGGTCGAGAGGTCGACGAGGGAAAGGAAACTAAGGTGAGGGTGTTGCAATACGCCATTGCATATTCAATCAGCCGACGATTGTTTAGATCGATATTCCCAATACGGATCATTTTTGTTCATATTCAATTAGCTGCAGATCGCACTAAAAAATATTATTCATTGTACAGTGTGACTTTGTAGTTGAAACTGTTAGGACGCTGAATAAACTACTCTTATCAAAAGTTGTCTTGTCAGGATATTTCTTCCTGCTGGAATCGGAAAGTACTTGAGGAAACAAAGGGTAACGATTTAGTTTTTAGAATATACCGAGCGCTTCGTAACTAGACTACGAGCAGTGAGGCCATTCCCAGGGATCCCTGTGGCGCGCTACCATCAATATTTTTACACCGTTCTTTTTTTAACTCGCGCGACAGACTTCGTGGAGGAGGGGGGGACTGCTCGTAGTCTAAGAACCTACCAGAGTTGATTTTAAAATGTCAAACACGAGGCGAAATGGTAATTGGAATAATATGACTCCAGGCAAGGATCGTGCCCCTCCCCTCCCCCCCCCCCCCCCAGTCGAACCTTTATTAAGTGGCACCACACTGAGGAGGAAAATTAGGATGAACTGAAGAAACTTATTAAATATTCAACCCGGCACTTCTGGTTTCATCTTTTCCTCCTCTACCAAAGACGGTAATTCCCGAGGAACGTCAGCGTATTTTGTACTAACCCTTCTCCTGAGCAATCATGTGTCTTGAATATGAAAGTGATCCTCGCAGTAATGTACACTACTTAAGCAGTAGTGAAAATAAGGCCTGAAAAAATTCAGGCCTGTACGGGATTTGAACCCATGACCTCTGTGATACCGGTGCAGCGCTCTACCAACTGAGCTAACAAGCTAATTCGGAGTCTCTATTTCAGGCCTTATTTTCACTACTGCTTAAGTAGTGTACATTACTGCGAGGATCACTTTCATATTCAAGTCTTAATCTGCAGTTCAAATATATGACTTTCAAATATTCTTAGCCGTTTAATCATGTCTCCTATTAAGTGGTCATTAAGCGGTCAATTATGACGTAAGGTGGCCTTGTTTATCGTTTTTTTTATAATACTCCTTATTTGTGGAACCTGTATTAAGCGATCACCCTATATTAAACTGTCAACTCACCATCTCCCGGGGGGTGATGGCTAAAATGGTCTACCTACTGAGTTAAAGAGAGCTCGTTGGTGAGTGGGGCTATAACAATTGTTTCGCTTGTCTGATAAGTGCCCCATAGAATACTAAATGTACATTACGTCCCAGGTTAAAAAAAACATTGTTTCTAAAATTTTTGTTTGAGGTAAAGCTGTAAAACTCTAAAAGCAGTTGTATTCGATTATACTTTGCAGGATCGTAAGACTCCTTCAGAGGTTTCTCATGTGAACGAAGTTGCTGAGCAAGTCTTGAGTTCTCACGAAATGGTAAGACTTGAAAAGATAAAAATAGAACCTCTACATAAGACGATCGTAACAAAAATTACGCTAAATTTTAACGAACAAGTTCAATAGTGAAAGGCTTGTCTTTCGTGAGCGCCCTCTTGAGGTCTCGGTAGGGACCTTTAGCAATTAGGACAGCAACGCCAAGGACGACGTCGATATAAAAACAAATATATATTTTTGGTTGGAATCTCGCGAACTACTGGACGGCACCTCAACCTAATCTCAGCATAACGAATAAGAGCGGCGTAGAGTACTAAATGAAAACTTAAATAATTTGCCGTCGGGTTCCCTTTTTGAGACAACGCAAACGTTGATGATTTCAAGTTGTCATTTTACAGGGGACGGCTAAACGCACGTGCTGAGCTATTGTTCTGCTCATTAGATCTTTTGTTTTGCCACGTCCTCGTTGCTGTCGCCGTCGTGTTTTGCGAAAGGTCCGTAGTCTCGGCCCTAGTCGGAACATTTTCTCTTCTTTAATGGCAAGACACTTCATTCTCATAGTGTTCAATCATTTCATTAATGTCATAGTTTGAAATAAGGTTGCCCTATATATACGCGCCATAGGCTCACGTGTAAAAACTTAACAATTTAAGGAGCTGAGTACGTCAAATATGAATTACAAATGAAATATGGTAAATAGGAATATACAGATTATATTGAAATACTTCGTTCAGACCACATTTAGATATAAAAGTCAAACAAAAAATGTATTTTACATTCCTTAGTTAGATTATCAAATTATGATACAGTCAGAAAAAACTGATTTCATAAAAGTGACACCTTAAAAACAAAGGAATTATGAAATAATTTTCAGTGTTGTTATTTGTATAGAGCGTTTCGTAAACAACTCCATCGCGCATCGGGTCGCATGGTTTCTATAAGGTCTCGCCATATATCAGTTCAAAATGCATTGTGGTATTGAAGGTAGTGCTCAAAAGAGATGTACTTTCATAAATGAGAAGAAAGATTCGGTGAAAAAGGGAAAAAAACGACTGTCACGACGATTTCCAAAATATGCTTCGTAAAATTATGAAGAAGAATGAGTAGCATTAAAATCTGGTGGCACGAAATGAAATGACAGCGACACAAATCGCAAAAAAAAAAGTTTTAACTGGGCTCTAAAATTTGAGAGATGAATAAACAGACGCGAGACTGGAATAGAATAATTTTGTAAAAAGTGCAATTGTCCATAAGGATTCCTATCAAAATCTTACTTTTATTATCTGTAATTATCCTCTGTTTTCGCTTGTTGCATAATTCTCAAAGAGGATAAAATCCTTGTCCCTAAAGCTGTCTATGAAACCGAAGCTTTGTGATGGCGATCTTTAAAGAGCCGAGATTTGGATATTCCAGAACAAAGATAGCGCTGACGTCTCGTCGCAACGACTGCTAAGTCACTTCTGAAACACAACGGGGCGACGCACTCGACCCAGTTCCTTACCGGTCTTTTTGCTGAGTGCTTCGTTGTCAAATGACGTTCCTGTTCTCTTGCTAAATCACTCTAATGACGAAACGCGTGGCAGCAAGTTTGAAATTTAGTTCCCCTGCTATAATCACCTCGCGCGAGGTGATTATAGCGACATATGACGCAATCTTCGACCATTTAGAGCGCACGCATCTTTATAACGAGGAAGCAATTACACTTAAAATAACTACCAATGCAACAAACTGTTAAGAATATTTCTCACCCAAAGGGAATAGTGGTCCCTCAATGCTATGAAAACTGCCATGTTCTGACTTGCTTCATATGAAATTGATAGATATTGATGACTAAGATAGTGAATAACATATTCTTTTGGAACCCACTTTCCACAGGCGATGAGATGGACTTGTTACCGAGTAGTCATAAAGAAACCTGTTCAAAAGGAGCTCAAATGGAGCGATATCCCCAGCAAAACACCGAAGAAAGAAAAAAATTACTCACCCACAAAACTTCCGCTACAACGAAGAAAACAGATGAATCAACCTCAAAGCACGAAAGGCCTGATTCTATCAGATACAAGCCCTCCGGTTTTGAACAATTTGAAAAGGTAAATCCTGAGTCACTTTACACACTACAAGGCTCGTTTGGTGCTGATAGTCGTGCTGACACTCTTTTGGTGGATGAAACAGAATTAAACGACTCACTTGGGTTTTTGACGGGTCTCTACGAGATTACACCACTTTCGGATGAATTTAACACTGTTGAGAAAGATATTGAGCGTTTACTAGTTAACTTAGATGCCAAAACGAGAAGCCTTGTTGACTCAAAAAGGGAACATTCAAGTGCTTTAGAAAAAGTTTTGACGCTTAAACTGGTGGAGAGTAAAGTTATGGTTGGCAATAACAATGGTCTTATCGACTCTATAAGTGCAGAGATTAAGCTTAACAAAGAGAAGTTTGTGAACGAAATTGAAAGAGAAAACATTTCCAATGTGCCTCAAATTCATGAAGAAGTGGAAACATCAGTTTCATATCCAGTGGTTGAAAAAGGTTCAAGAATGACAAAAAAGAAACGATTTGTGCCAGAACAACACACTCGTGTAGAGCTTCCTCATCGCACATACGAGCAAGACGATGAAAGTGACAAGCAAAACATCGAGGGAAGAAATGGCTATGGAACAGAATTTGTTAAGGAAAAAAGGATCGACGCAGAACAATGGATAAGTAATCTTTTTAAAGGCATCGGCGCTGTAGAAAAAATGAATAAGTTGAAAACAAATGGCCCAGAGGAAAGCGAAAATGTAACAAGGAAAAAAGTTCGCCAAAGTCAGCAAACGGATTTGAAAGATATTTTTCCAAGCTGGTACCTTCCCGAATCTGTTGAGTTTTTATCTTCTCTGAACAAAAGAGTCATTGCAAATGGGAAAAGATGGAGGGATGGTTCACATGTCGCTCCAAACAACTGTGAAAGAAGAGGAAATTTTCTTTCAGGGAGCGATAGCACAGGGGCCAAAAAGTTCGCCGAAACAATTCCGTTCGGTCATAAAAGGCAACAAAGAAAAGCCGAGAGAGATTTTCGTCTTGCTTTATGGCAAGAAAAGAACGCTCTTTTGCGAGACAAAAACGGCGATCCAGTCAGCACCAACAACATCGATGGTAGCCTTCAGGGAAAGATTGGAGAGAAGTTTAAATGGGCCCCTCGCTTCAGAGAGGAGGAAACTTTTAAGGTAATATTAATTTTCTTAAAGGTTATAAGTCCATGCAACATTATGCCGCCTTATCCTCTTCTCGCACTCTAAATACAGCTTATTAGAAGGAAGCATCAATGAGTAATCTGTTCTAAAATTTTGGTAACGTGATCCGTCTTTGATTAAGTAAAGCAAAATCGCTGTCGAGAATGACTAGTGGATACGGTTCTTTTTTTCAATAAATGCAAAACTAAGAGAGGTACCCAGCAATGAGGAAAGACATAGTTAAATATAATAACATAACTTTTTTGACACATTGACGGTTTGAATGATAGTTTTCAAATCTCTGCTCAATTGGGCTCAGTGCAATCCCAGTTGTTAAATAGTTTCTAAAATAGTTTGCCAATGATCTTTGTAGTTCTCCTTGAGCCTTCATTTTACTACTAACAGCTCGTATCTTGATACATATGGAATATTATTACAAAAGTGATATTCACGTGAATTTTCCCAGCATTACTGGAGCATTTTGGCCAAGTGGTTAGGGCACTGGACCTGTACTTTTGTGGTTCCGGATTTAGCTCTTCACCCCGTTGCTCACTTTTTTGTTTTCGGTTGCCCCAAGTCTAACTCCTAGGCTGCGCTTTGCCTGTGGCCAGTTGGGATTTTTGTTTTTACAATGTTTATTTACAATTTGTATGAATTGGCCCTGAGAAGCCCTGCTGGGGGAGTGGTCAATTATTATTATTATCATCATTATTATTGTTATTATTTTAATTGCTTATCGAACTTTATGATAACGGAAACGCTGTCGGAACGTTTTCAAGAAATTTACCATTATTCAGAATCACTTGTCTTTAAAACAGTTAACTGACCAGGAACTAATATTCTAGTATCTTCTACTTATGCGGTCTTGTTGCAGTTGAGTGAGGGAAGCAAATATCCGAAGAGGATGACAAACTTCGGAGAGCAAGAGAGGACGTCGTTAGGTGAGTCTCGCTTCTTGAGGATTTCTCCTGCTCTGTAAAGGGTTTTCCATTTGTAAAAAAAATCGCCCCTCTTTTGTGCGAACATCTGCTTAAAACTGCTTTCATTGATAACAGAGCCCCTTAAATTTCACGCTCATTTTGGAGAAATATGAAAATAGACTCTGCTTTGTAGAGGTTTCAACGTTTTGATATTAAATTTTGATTGCAAATGAGTTTGCTAAACTCAGAAATAGAGTTACAGCCAACTAGAACTAACCAGAATATCAGAGGTTGTCGATGATGATTCTCACTTCAGATAACTGTGGGCATCACTGGTAAACTTTGGTAGCTCTGTGGTAACTGTTTTTTTTCCATTGCATCTTAAATTTTAAGGTTTCACAAGTTAGATATGTTCTACAGATATATTACAGAGCGTAATAAAGCAGTACCCTTGGACTTACTCATTATTCTGGAAAGTCGACGGATCAACACTTTGAACTTGAGGAACCAAAACAGACAGAATTGCCCTTATGACTGTTTATCGTAAATTATTGATAATACTTTCACAGAAGATGAAAAACAGTTGGATTCCCTCTTGGACTTGTATAAATCAACTCAAGACGTGTTGCAGAAACAGGCAGAGCAGGAAATGGCCATTAAGAAATGTAGGAACAAAGTAGATTGTATGACTGAAGAAATGAAAACGTTACAAAAAATTATTGCAGAGGATGGTACGCTTAAACAAGTGAGTAATAGATTAGCTTGAACCAATGAGTCAACTGTTAAATTCAATAGCTTTTCTTACTGTTTAAACAGGTACTACTGATCAGTACCGTAATGATTTGATTTGGCGCCCTATAATAAGCGCCCCCTTCTAATGAGCACCCCCTCTAATAAGCACCTTATTCAAATTCGTTTTTGATAATAAGCGCCGCCATTCTTATAATTGCCCCTAGCGAGTATGAAGCATCCTCATTGCAATAGGCGCCCCTATATCAATTAGCGGCACTATTCTGTTTCAGTGATAGTACTGTTAGTGTACCTGCACATTCAGATCGAAGGTGGTTCATCTTCCTTTAATTACTTAATTGCCTACTTCAAACCTTATTATACAAAAACAGTGGTCTTCGTCTCAGTCTCTCAACTATGATGTCCATGCGTGTGCACAGTTCCTTTAAACGAATGATCACGCCTTCAAATTTTGCTACGACGATTTCGTGGCTGTTCTTTCCGACCAGGAAAGGTCCAAGGCGGGCATGTCCGTTCATCAGTGTTCTTGATCCTTTTCAAATAAACATCAAAGATTTTTTTGCAAAATTTTCTTTCCTTGAAAATCAAAGAAGCGCCGTGTTCCTTACTAGCGCCCCGTTTCGAATAAGCGCCCTCCCTTCATATGTCAAGAGCAAATAAGCGCCCAGGGCGCTAAATCGAATCATTAAGGTATGAACAAGAAATCTCAATATCGCTGAGTTTTTTTTCATACTACAATTTTTTCCTTAACAAAGAAAAGTTATAACGTTTGCCAACCGAAAATGGCTTCTGACTCTTCAGGCTCTTAAGTCAAGGATGAGGGAAAAAGCATATACCCGAAAAAAAGATGAATGAATTAAAAAATAAGAATAAAAAATTCGCTGAGGAAACTCTTTCTCTTTTTTGCTGTCTGCAACACTGTCATAAAACCTGTCAGGAAAAAAATTCGCTATTAAAAAAAGGGGAAAAGGAAGAAATAAAACTACAATCCTGACCTATCAATGCGCATTGTTACATTTCAAAAGGAGGTACATGTTAATGTACATGTCAGTGTGCTACTAAATTTTGTAATGAATTTTATTTTTTCCAGGGAATAAAAATGGTTTCTGGGAAAACTTCGTGGTCAATTTAGCAACGGCAAAGAAGAAGTTTGAAAGACTGCTGGTTCATGAGTTCATTTGAGCCATGTTTGAGAAACTTCTTCATGGAATTACACGGCTATCGTTCTCAACTGAGGCCCTAGATCTATCGTCAGAGTTTCAACAAAATAAACCGATTTTTATTTATAAATAAATCAATATCATTACTTCATGATCTCTTGGTAGACTTTGGCTTCATGTGCGGCGCCCTCATTCATTTGCATACAACTTCCTTCACTAAATCTTTCTGGCTTGTTTGGTTTGTTGCTTAATATAAGACTAGATGACAGCACTGTCCAAAGAATCATTGCTGTCACATTGCCTTTCTAAATTGTTTGTTTGTGTTTAAAGATTTGTGAAGTGGAGCTCTGTTGTGAGGTGCTTTTTTTCAGATTTCCTCTAACCAACTTAAAGATACAAACTGAATGGAAATTCCATTACCAGTTTCAAAAACCTTTACTTTTTATTAAAGGTAGTTGTTCGTCTGTCGTATTCGACAATGACCATGAGACTTCGAATATTGAAAACAGAAAAGTCAAGGTCCGTGCGTAGGAAGATGCCTTGAGAGGCCTACCCTTGACTTGAAGAGGCGTCTGCATGTTGGACAGGGAAAGATTGGTACTGTACTGGTTGCAGACGCTGCTCGCACCTTGCGAATGGCTCTTTTGTTTTTGGACTCCTGAATCCACTTTTTTCGGCTAAACGAGCCAAATTCCCAATTTTCAACTGCCTGTTTTTCGACAGCAGCAGGGGATCCCCGCCAACCGTGGTATGCTGGCAAGGGCGTGATTAAACGGACTATTTTTAGGGCACCTTTTCTAGCCTCTTCCTCCTTGGAGGTGAGCAGAGCGTTCCAAGGTTCTGGGTGCTTTCGATTTGTAAATTTGGATTGAAATTTTGAAATACAGATTTCGGATTTTGCAGTAAAAATTGAAAAGCAAAAACTAATTTCGATGCTGAAAAATCTGTCCTCAAGGTCAATTTCCATTAATAAATCCAGAGCTATTTTTTTTGTACATTTTCTAACTAACGGTTAACCCCAATGAGACCCTTCCTAGAAGAGCTGTAGTTCTACAAATCCTTTTGGATTTACCAAAAAACGCAAAACTTAGAAATTCAGAAGATCTGGAGTGCCACGACCAAGATCTGAAATTGGCAGGTCCTCTTTTAAACACAGGGCTGCGTTGGCACGGAACCTTCTTCCGCATCACGTCAAGGACTGTGCAAATTTACGATCATTTAAGATGGGCTTAATGCGAACAAACATCTACTAAATAGCATATATTTTGCCAAAGGTTCCTGCTGTGTTTCAATGAAAAATGATGATTACTTATATTTTTATATATTTATTTACTATTTATAATTGCATCTAAATTTATCTAATCATTATTGTATTTAAGAAATTTATATCTTGCTCACTTACATTTTTATCCTTATTTTAATGCGACAATATTTAATTAGCTGTAGTTAGGCAGGTCCACCTCAGGACTTTGGTCTCGCCAATTTACATAACCTGCATTGTTAAATAAAGATGTATGTATGTATCTAAGCACCCCCCAAATATAAGCACTGCCCTCTAACACCCCCTCTTATAAGCGCCTCCCTCGAATTCGTTTTTGTTAATGAGCGCCGCTGTTCTTATAATCACCCCTGTCGAGTATGAAACACCCGCATTACAATAAGCGCCCCTATACCAGTTAGTGGCACTATTCTGTTTCAGTGATAATAATGTTAGTGTACCTGCACATTCCGATCGAAGGTGGTTCATCTTCCTTTAATTGCTTAATTCCTTACTTCAAACCTTATTATACAAAACAGTGGACGTCGTCTCAGTCTCTAAACTATAATGTCCATGTGTGTGTAAAGTTCCTTTAAACGAATGATGTCGCCTTCAAATTTTGTGATGATGATTGCCTTGCTATTCTTCCTGGCCAGGAAAGACTCGGGGACTGCATGTCCGTTCATCAGTGTTCTTGATCCTTTTCAAATAAACATCGATATCAAAGCTTTTTTTCGCATAATTTGCTGTTTCCCGAGAATTAAATAGCGCCTTGTCCCCTAATAGTGCCCCGTTTCGAATAAGCGCTGTCCCTGTAGGTATCAAGGGTTAATAAGTGCCCCAGGTGCTAATTGAATCATTACGGTATGTACAAGAAAACTCAATATCGCTGAGCTTTTTTCATACTTGATTTTTTTTTCCTTGACGAAGAAAAGCTTTAGAGTTTGCCAAAGCGACAATGGCTTCTGACTCTTCAGGCTCTTAAGTCGAGGATGAGGGCATGAATACAAAGGGACAAAGAAAAAATTGTGGGTCCCCATGAGGAATCAAACCTCAGACCTTCGGATTCCGCGCTCCGATGCTCTACCATTGAGCCACAGAGACTCCATGGTGAGCGAGGTCTATTACGAAGTTCATATGACACGCGTCCTGCATATATAGGATCAGCAATGTCGATAGCGTAATGTTTGTCGATAGAGATAAGAGAGATGGTAAGTGTTTGAGCTAGGAAACTTACCATCTCTCTTATATCTATCTAGTAAAGAGGAGTTGCATGTAGATATACATGCCAGTGGGCTACTAAGCTTTCTATAGATTTAATTTTTTTTCCAGGGCATAAAGATGGTTTCTGGGAAAACGTCGTGGTCAATTTAGCAATGGCAAAGAAGTTTGAAAAATGCCAATTCACAAATTCATTTGAGCCATATTTGAGAAACCTCTTCATGGACCTACACAGCTATTGTTCTTAACTGAGGCCCTTTACCTATTGTCAGAGTTAAAAAAAAAAAAACAGATTTTAAATTAAAAATAAATCAATATCATTACTTCATGATCTCTTGGACGACTTTAGTTTCATGTGTAGCACCCTCATTCATTTGTGTACAACTTCCTCAATTAAATCTTTCCGGCTTGTTTGGTTCGTTGCTCAATCTAAGACTACATGACAGCACTGTCCAAAGAATCATTACTTTCATATTGTCTTTCTAAATTGTTTGTTTGTGTTTGAAGATATGTGAAAAGGAGCCCAGTTGTGAGGGAATTTTCATTTCAGATTTCCTTTAACCAGCTTAAAGATATCAACTGAATGGAAATTTCATCTCCAGTTTAAAAAACCATTTAATTTTCGTCTAAGTTAGTAGGAAGTACATTATTATAAGATAATGACATTGACTGCGCTTTGTGATTTTCAGATTTCTCTTACTAGCTTAAGGATATCAGCTGAATGGAAATATCATCAACAGTTCCAAAAAATATATAATTTTCATCTTGGCCAGTGAGAAGTACATCATTATGAAATGATGACATTGACCACGCTTTGTCTCCCAATGTTGATCTGACTTAACAATTAGATGCTACAAAAAATATATATTTTTTTGATGCGAATAATGATCTTTTCCTTTTTATGGTAAGAGCAGCAGCTGTTTGTGAACCGCTCAATGTGGTTTTCGCGAGTCGATAGCTTGCGGCCAGATTACTATGTTGATTTTGAAAATGGCAGCGTCGATAGTCAACTTCTTACCTCTTGAATTTTTTTGGCTTTGAAATCTGAAAACACGGTAGTAGAGATATAATTTTTAGCTACACTGTTGTAAGCAAAGTTCTTTTAAGAAGAATAGACAGTATTATTGTCTTTCCACTGACGTCATCAAACCAATGACCATCAAAGGGGTAAGTCTATAATAGTTGGATCGGTTCTTTTAAACCTTGTCTATCGGCTTATCTGCGTACATCACTCAAATGCATTTTTTGAAAGTGAATCATAAGAATAACTTAAATGTTTCAAGGGAGAATAAAGGCCATTGTTTTCTCTTGACTATTTCAAGTGTTACTGTCAGTGAGAAAAATTCCCGGATTAGCTTTGGTGTAGCCGTACCCTACCCCCGCCAAGTACGGCTACACGTAGGCTAAACATGGATTAACCAATTTTGAAGAAACTTGCCGCCGAGGATGGCCTTAATAAGATGGTCGAAAAGCCTAAAAGCTGTTGGCTTTATAAAAATAATCTTATTTCTACTCAGAAGAGTCCAAAATAAGTGCGAATACTTGTGGAATATTGAGAAAACGGCTCTAAAGTTCTGGGTGCTTTCAATTGGTAAATCCAGATTAAAATTTTGAAATACAGATTTCGCATTTTTTTAAGTAAAAAATGAAAAGCAAAAACGGATTTCGACGCTGAAAAGTCTGTCCTCAAGGTGGATCACTATTAAAAAATCCAAAGCTATTTTTTTTTCTTTTTATAGCCAACGGTTAACCTCATTGAGACCCCTTCTAGAAGAGATCCTTTTTGGATTTCCCGGAAAAACGCAAAACATATAAATCCATGAGATTCGGAGCTGAATTTCTTATTTGAAATCCACTTTGAGGATGGATTTCTCAGCGTTGAAAGTCGTTTTTGGATTTCATGTTTTACCGCCAAATCCGAATTCCCGATTTCAAAATCAAAATCCAGATTCGTCGAAGTTAAGCACTCAGATTTCTTTGAAGACGGCGTCTTCTTTCTGATTGGCCTAGACTAGCTCTCGACCCAGTTTCTTAAAAGCCACATTCAAAATGGCGGACGAACTGCTGTGAATTTAGGGTTGAAAGATTCGATGTCGCACTGAATGGTCAGTTTATTACGACAGTTGTGTTACATTTGATGACGGATGATGAGCTGTTCTAAAAATTCGTCTCGTCTTCGCTTTGTACATCGGATGTGTTCAGTAACATCTTTCTACCGTGATGAAATTCTAATTTTACTGGGAACCCCCCGACTGGTGAGAGATCTTCAAAGAACTTTGACAATGAAATGTATCCTATCACATAGGAACGTTACTTACTCATCTTCTAACAAATGTTGCACTGATCACCAAGGAATGGGGTGATGGAAAAAACAATGACTTCCAGTCCATGGACTTAACCCTGTTGGACAACTCAAATGAACTACCCTAACATGCACCAATCCTTCGATGTTTTTTGTTTTGTTTTCGTTAGTCACAACAAACACCACGAAATTTAAGCGATTATTTTAAACATTCAAGCGTGATAGCGTGATCCAAGTCGTGTTACATTCATTATCGGTCACGAAGAAAGGTGAGAAATCGATAATATTAAATGTCCTTTAGTGTACAGATTGACGCAGATACAAAATGTATCTTCCATGAACATCAAATGGCATGGCTATGTTTGGAAGGAGATTCTTTTAAAGGACTTGCACACCCATTTTAAGCCGCATTGTAAACATATTTATGGTCAAGAAGAGCAACACCTTTTTTCTTTTCTTTTTTCTTTACTGATTTTCTTATTCTAAATAAATTTAAGATTCTATCATGGTGATTTATTGCAAGAACAGTTGCTTATCAGAGGCTCTTAAAAGTTAAACTAAGAGCTAAAAGTTAATAGACGGTTAATCCCTTTTTACAAAAATTCAAATTTCTGATTGTGTTCTTCAAAGTTGACCTCCAGAGCATTTAAATGTAAATCGGCCAATTTGTCTCATTGGATTTTCAATTTAGCTAAGTTAGACATTGCAAAACCGAAGTTTCATTTGTGCTCTGCAGGCATCAAGTGGTCTCTCCAGAAATTTTAAATTAGAAGGCAGAAATTGTAATTTCTCTTGCTGTTGCAATACCTCACTAATTTAAAAGTATCTTTTGCAACAAGTTTCATAATCAGTTATCCCATAGCATGTTTCAGTGTCCTCTGGAACACTTTCATGTAGACAAAGAGACTCTATTAAGTAATGTTTGTTATTTATAAACTGTGTGGTGTAGAAAATGAATTTGAGAAGAAACTAAATGAACCTTAATGACTGTGTAAAACTTCTTTCAAAATCAAGAATGTGCAACTATGTTAAATGAACATTTAATTCCTGTTATTTTTTCTTGGCTAATAGTTTTCATTTTCCATCTTTTCTTAAGTTTTTCTGTGTTTTTTCTAGGCCCAATTAGCTGTAAAAACCAGGTATATATATAACAGGGTGTAAGCAATGGCCAAATTAATCCAGTCATTTGAGTGTTTTTTTTACATAGCATGAGACAATTAAATGCTGATATTTTTAGTGGCAGATTGAAGTGATGATGCTGAGATGACCTAAGCAGCAAAAGTTTGGATGCAATGGACTACTTGCTGGATTTGTCTAAACTTTTTTTTAAGGAAGCTACGTCCTGCAGGTAAAAATGGAAATTCTTGAATGGGTATTATCTGTTGTACTAAAATGTTGGTTATGTGATCTGTCTTTGATTAAGTAAAGCAAAATCACTGTTGAGAATGACAAGTGGACACCATTCTTTTTTTTCAATAAATGTAAAACTAGGGGAAGTACTCAGCAATGAGGAGAGATAGAATAAAATATGATAATGTGACTTTACTGACATTGACAGTGTTGTTTTGATTAAAAGGTTTTTAAATACTAGCATTTATTTGGACTCAGTTTGTGCCCAGTAGTTAGATGGTTTCTAAAATAGTCTGCCAATAATCTTTGTTGTTTTCATTATGCCTTTATTTTACTACTAACAGCTGGTATCTTTAGTCAAAACATATGTAAGGTTCAGCTCTTCACCCCAATACTCACTGTTTTGTTCTTGGTTGCCCTAAGTTTAACTCCCAAGCTGTGCTTGTAAAAAGCTTACTGGTCTGCCCCATGACTAGTTGGGATCTTTGTTTTTGCAATGTTATTTACAATTTGTATGAACTGGCCCCGAGAAGCCCTACTGGGGAAGTGGTCAGTGATTATTATTATTATTGTAATTGAACTATGATGATAATGAAAACGCTGTCAGAACATTTGAAAGAAATTTACCATTATTCAGAATTACTTGTCTTTAAAACAGTTAACTGACCAGGAACTAATATTCTTGTCTTCCCTATTTATACAGTCTTGTTGCAGTTGGTTGAGGGAAGCAAGTATCTCAAGAGGATCGCAAACTTCAGAAAGAGAAAAAGGACATTATTTGGTGAGTCTTGTATCTTGGGGAGTTCTTCTACTCTGCAAAAGGGTTTCTATTTGTTGAAAAAATTGTCCCTATTCTGTGGGTGAGGGAAGCAAGTATCTCAAGAGGATCGCAAACTTCAGAAAGAGAAAAAGGACATTATTTGGTGAGTCTCACTTCTTGGGGAGTTCTTCTACTCTGCAAAAGGGTTTCCATTTGTTAAAAAAATTGTCCCTATTCTGTGCGAACATCTGCTTGAAACTACTTCTATTGATGACAGAGCCATTTCTATTTCACACATACTAATATAATAATTGTTTTTTTCATTATTATCTTGCAGAGTTAGAAAGGAAAGGGTAGGAATTAAAACTGTTCCCTCATAATATATTTTCAGAACATTGGCAATTTATTAAAGACTATAGAATGGCTATGGCACAATTTCCAGCTGGAGACTGTATAAGAGACATACAGGATGGTAGAGTTTACCAAAAATTCATCCAGCATGACCCTTGCACCAGAGGAAGAAAGTACTTTCAATTATAGTTAGCAGTGCACTGTTGATTAAGTCCAAGAAGTTTAGTATCAGTGGCCACTTATTTGTTTTCTTGTGGAGTTGCGTCCCCAAGAAAGATACAAATTTGAAAACATCCTACTTACTGGACTGTGGTCTGGGAAGTCCAAACCACATGTGCCATTATTATTAAAACATTTTACCGGTGAATTATTCAATATGGCAAATGGTAGTAATTTTAACAATGAAACTTGTGAACTTGTGTCATCAGAGTGCAGAATCCAATCTGATGTACCACACCTGCCGGCCAAAGCCTTGCTTTTAAATATCAAGCAGCACAATGGTAAATTTGGCTGCAGTACATGCAAACATCCAGGGAGGTACTGTCATTCTGACGGGCAAATACATGTAAGGCTGTATGAATACTGGCCTTCTGGTACTGTGGCTGTCAGAACAGCACAAGAAACCAGGATGTTTGGGAGAATTGGGGAGGCAAGAGGCACCACAGTGTTTGGCATTTAAAGAGAAAATGTGTTTCGTCAATTGGTTGACATTTCAGACAATTTACCTATTGACTGAATGCATTGTGTTTGCAAAGGCATCCTGAAAAGACAGCTATTCAAATGGTGGTTCAATCCTCAATATGCTACAGATTCAAACAGTTTGCTAGGAATTAGTCATGAGCTAGAAAACCTGTTCCTTTCTATCAAAGTGCCACATGACTTTACTAGAAAGCCATGTAGCATTGCTGAATTAAAACAATGGAAAGTATCAGAATTTGAGTTTTTTGCCCTCTTTGCTAGACTGCCATGTCTTCAATATACTGTTCATTCTTGGCATAGAATTTGGCATAGACCACTTTTATCACTTTGCACTTCTTTCCACTGCTCTTAATTTCCTGCATTTAGTTCCTATTTCTAAAACTTGTGTAGAGAAGGCTCAAGTTTTGCTTGAAAACTTTGTAAGACTTTACTCAAGTCTTTATGATATTGAAGAGTGTACATACAACTACCATGCTTTATTCCACTTCCCTTTCCAAGAGTTCTTGACCATGGTTCCTAAGCACTTTAACTTCTGCTTTAAATTTGTATTTGAAGCAATTATCTCTCACCTTAAAAATCTGTATTCTGGAACAAGGGGACTCCCAAAGCAAATGGTGGAAAAACTAGGAGTAAGCCAAACCTGTGCTTGTTTCACAGAAATGCAAATCCACACCCAGTGCTGCTAGGTTTGCAAAACATCTGCTTGGTGAAGGCCTAGTGTTCGGTATACAGAAGGGAGTTCGAGAAGCTGACACAGTCTCAAAATGTCTTTTTTGCAGCATTTGGAAGTGGTCCTGTCCCAGAATACTTGGTTTCCTATAGGATGACAAAAGATCATGTTACCTTCCACAGCACGATGTATCCTAGAAAAGGAAATTCGGGAAGCTACCTTGTCCAGTTTTGTGCACATGGGAGGAAATGCTATGGTAGAGTGGTTTGCTACATCCTCTTCAAGAATGTTGCCTATGCATTGATCACAAAGTATGGCTTGAATGGATTGAATGTTTGCCAAGACCTTCCTCCACCACAGGATGTAGTCGTGAAGGAAATTGTTCATCGAAACTTAATCGGTCAACATTTTCTCCAGGTTCAAGTTACTTGGGTGACTTCCCAAAAGACTTAAAATTTTTTCGATGGCTGCTGACATCCTCTCTTAAATGTTTCAAGAGAGAATAAAGGGCATCATTTTCTCTTGACTATTTCAAGTGTTATTGTCAGTGAGAAAATTTCCCAGAAAGTGGAGAAATTAGCCTACATGTAGCCATAATTCCCCCCTGTCCTCAGAGTGGATTTTCGTTAAAAAATCCAAAGCCAATTTCTTTTTTCGTTTTATAGCCAACAGTTCACCTCATTGAGACCCCTCCTAGAAGAGATCCTTTTTGGATTACCCGGAAAAACGCAAAACATAGAAATCCATGTGATCCGGAAGTGGATTTCTTAATGGAGATCCACTTTGAGGATGGATTTCCTAGCGTTTAAAGACGTGTTTTACCGCAAAATCCGAATTCTCGATTTGAAAATCAAAATCGAGATTCGTCGGAGTTAAGCACCCAGATTTCTTTGAACACGGCGTCTTCTTTCTGATTGGCTTAGACTAGCTCTCGACCCAGTTTCTTAGCAGCCATATTCAAAATGGTGGACGAGCTGCCGTGTATTTAGATCTGAAAGAATCGATGTCGCATTGAATAGTCGGTTTTTTACGACAGTTGTGTTACATTTGACGACGTATGATGATGAGCTGTTCTAAAAAATCGTCTCATCTTTACTTTGTATCGGATGTGTTAAGTAACGTCTTTCTACCATGATGAAGTTCTAATGTTTACCAGGAACCCCTCGATAGGTAAGAGATCTTTAAACAACTTTGAACCGATTCAGTGTCAATGAAATGTATCTTATTACATAGGAACACTACTTACTCATTTTCTAACAAATTTTGCATTGATCACTAAGGAATGGGGTGATGGACAGAACAATGTCCTCCAGTCCATGGACTTAACCCTGTGGGACAACTCAAATGAACTACCTTAACATTCACCAACCCTTCGAATTTTTGTTTTGTTTTGTTTTCGATAGTCACAGCAAACACCACGAAAATTAAGCAATTATTTTAAACGTTCAAAATTCTCGCTTCGAAATATAGCGTGATCCAAGTCATGTTACATTCTTCAATGTACGTCACGAAGTAAGCCGAGAACTTCAAAACAAAAAACATGAAGTTTATTTTCATTAATAATTAGAATAAACAAAGGAGGAGATTGTGAGTTTCTCGCAATAGCCGTTTAGGGTATTTGGCGGCGAAACTATTCTCAGTAAATTGCGCTTATTTCATGAATGTCACACGTAAACGGAAATAGTTTACCCAGAAATAAAATGCGCTAGTATATCCTAGTTTAACACCTCCCCATTTAAATGTGTACTTCACCATTTTAATGTGAACATAGTAATTTCAAAAACACTAACTTAGTGTTTTTGAAATTACTATGTTCAATGTTTTCGCTTCAAGATAATTATCCGTTGTCGCTCGGAAAGTTTTTCCACAAAAGATCTCACCGGCTCAACCACAACTGTTTACATTAATTTTTAGCTCTCCGTTTGTCGATTTTGGTCAACTGTACGTTTCTCGGTTTAAGCTATCCGTTATTGGACTTAAGTCAACCGTTTAACGTTTCGAGCTAACCTTTTTTATTTTTGGTCAACCGTTTAACAGTGTTAGCTATCCGTTTTTTGGACTTTGGTAAACCGTTTAACGTTTCGTGCTATCCGTTTTTATTTTTGGTCAACCGTTTGAGGGCCCAATTATAAGCTATCCGTTTTTGGACTTTGGTCAACCGTTTAAATTTTTTTGCCATCCGTTTAAGCGGTTATGGAAACCGTTTAAACGCTTGAGTTAGCCGTTTAGTATCCGTTTAAAACCGTTTTTCTAGACCGTTTAACGGAAAAGCGTTAGTGTCCGTTTTCCCATGGAGGGTCACAAATGTCCTTCAGTACATAGATTGACGCAGATACAAAATGTATATTCCATGTGCATCAGTTGGCATGGCTATCTTTGAAAGGAAATTATATTTATAGGACTTACACACCCATTTTAAGCCGCGTAGTAAACATATTTATTGTCAAGAAGAGCAACACCTTTTTTCCTATTTGTTTGCTGATTTACTTATTCTAAATGAATTTAAGATTCTGTCTTGGTGATTAATTGCCAGAATTGCTTATCGCAGGTTCTTAAGCATCAAAATAAGAGATAAAAAATAAAAGTAGGTTAATCCCTTCACAAAATTCAAATTTTTGATCAGGTTCTCTGAAGTTGACCTCAAAAGCATTTATTAATAAGTGTAAATTGGCCAATTTATCTTGTTGGATTTTTAATTTAGCTAAGTTAGACAAATTGAGGAACCCAAGTTTCAGTTGTGCTGTGCAGGCATCAAGCATGCTCTCCTCAGGAATTTTTAAGATAAAAGGCAGAAATTGTAATTTCTGTGGCTTTTGGAATGTCTCACCAAAGTATCTTATGCAACATGTTTCATCATAATTATTATTTATCCCTCAGCATGTTTCTGTCCTCTGGAACACTTTCTTGTTGACAAAGAGACTAAAGAATGTTTGTTATTTACAAACTGCATGGTGTAGAAAATGAATTTGAAAAGAAACTACATGTACATGAACCTTAATTTGTAAAACTTCTTTTAAAATGAAGAATTTGGAATAAATGCAAACAAGTAACAGATTGTCTCTGTTATTGATTTTCTTTTAAACTATAACAGAAGCACTTTGCTAGAAGAATATGGTCACCTTTGCTTTCCTTGCAAGAGAACTGATGAATTGGCATGATTTATTTCATGTGAACTAAATAAAACTGGAAAAAAGAAGAGCATTCAGTATCTTTCTTTCAAAAGACACTAATTTAGTTAAGGTGATTCCTCTGAAAAAAAAAATATTGGAACAATTTTCTTTAAACTTTCCTTAAATGTTCCTTGCAAATCTCTGTTTTAAAAAATAATTTAATTTTAGAAAAGATAAGTCACCATGCTTGTTTTGCAGTTTAATGGGCCAAACATACCCTATTTATGCCTGACTACTGGCACTAATCATGTGTGTCATTTCATTGGTTTGCAGTACACTTTACTGTAGGGGGAAGCTAGGTTTTTAAACTGAGGTACCCTTGAAAAAAACTTGATACCATAGGTAGAAAGTTTGGTGCATATGAAACAATTTGATATATAATTGGTGGGAAAATCAGGCAAATTTAAACAGCATAAACTCAAAATGTTCCTTGAGTTGTTCCTTTTGAGATCATAATTTGCATCCTCTAGTAAAGGCCTATGTGAGTGCTTTTAACTTTATCTTTTTTCCCCTCCGAAGAATTTTTTTGGAAAATCCCCAATTCAAAGGGGATAAATGGTACACCAAAATTATGCAATAAAAAGTATAGGTCACTGTGCTTGTTCAAGAGCTAAAGACCATCGTGCCTCTTTGCCTGGTCCATGGATTGAAAGAGAATACCATGTTCTTGAAATGCATGTGTGCTCATTCCCCTGGTGAATGTGCAATACAGGATGCATGGTGATAACTGAGGAATCACATTGACATTTTCATGCTTTTAACTCTGAATCAAGACATCAATAATTGGTTGAACTGCATGGAGTTTTTTTCTGGGCTCATCAAGGCAAGATAGTGTGGGTTGATTCATTTCCAGGTAGGCATGTAATTGATGATGTGCAAATTGTAGCTTGGTACAGTGTAGTTGAACTCACAGCAGCTGAGAACAAATCCTTTAAGTAACAGAGTGAAGAGCTTTAAGTTGCTCTAAAGACTTGGCAACACTGCTTCCTTACTCACTTTCTTCATGTCTTGTCATCCTTTTAATTTGTAGTCTTTCAACAAGTTTTTGTTCAAAGTGTTAAAGGAACATTGGTCAATATAACTGATGCAGAGCAGGAAAACAACCCTTTTGAAAATTTTAGATGGTTGAGGAAAGTGTAAAGATGATAAAATCTGCATTCATCATCCAACCAGAATCAAATCAGGATTTGTATGTTAAATCAACATTTAAGTCTTTTTTTTTTCTCCTGTGACTGTTTTCATTTTATATTTTTTTCTTAAGTTTGTTGGTTTTTTCCCCATGGCCCAATTGGCTATAAAAACCAGATACTATATAATTATATAACATGGTAAGCAGTGGCCAAATTTATCCAGTCATTTGCATGAATTTTTTTTCCATGAGATAATTAAATGCTGATGTTTTTAAAGGCAGATTGAAGTGATAATGATGAAGAGATGACTTGAGCAGCAAAATTTTGGGTGCAATGGACAACAGGCTAGATTTATTGGAACTTTTTTAAGGAAGCTACCTCATGAAGTCAAAATTAATAATTCTTGGGTAATCTGTTCTAAAATTTTTGGTAACATGATCTGTCTGTGACTAAGTAAAGCAAATCATTGTTGAGAATGACAAGTGGATACCATTCTCTTTTTTTAATAAATGTAATACTAGGAGTAGTACCCAGCAATGAGAAAAGATAGAGTAAAATATAATACATGTAACATGACTTTTCAGACACACTGATGGTCTCATTTTGAATGATAGGTTTTTTAATTCTAGTGCTCAGTTGGACTCAGTTCAAGCCCAGTTGTTAAATAGTTTCTAAACCAGTCTGCCAATGATCTTTATTGTTCTCCTTAAGTCTTCATCTTACTACACCTTATATCTTGAAATATGTTGAATATTATTGTAAATGTGACATTCATATGAACTTTGCCAGCATTATTTGAGACATTGTGGCTGAGTGGTTATGGCACTGGACTTGCACTCCTGTGGTGCTCAGCTCTTCACCCTGTTGCTCTCTGGATTTATTTTCATTTGCCCCTAGTTTAACTCCTAGGTTGCGCTCTGTAAAAAGCCAAGTGGCTTGCTCATGTCCACAACATCACAAGTTGTCAATAAGGATTCTCACTTCAGATAACCAAGGGCATCGCTGATAAACTTTTCTAGCTCTGTGGTGACTTTTTTTTTGTTGCATCTTAAATTTTAAGATTTAATAAGTTACTTAGGTTCTACAGACAAATTACAGAGCATAGAAAAGAAATATTTTAGGAATCACCTACTGTTCTGGAAAGTCCAGTGACACTGTGAACTTGAAGAACCAAAACAGAAAGAATTGACTCTATGACTGTTTATTGAAAATTATTGATGATTTTCACAGGAGATGAAAAACAGTTGGATTCCCTCTTGGAAATGTAAAGTAACTCAAGACGCGTCGCGGAAACAGGAAGAGCAAGAAATGACCATTAAGAAATGTCGGAACAGAGTGGACTGTATGACTGATGAAATGTAAATGTTTCAAAGAATTACTGCAAAGGGTGCTATGCCTGAGCAAGTAAATAATAGGTTAGCATTAACAAATGAGTCAACTGTTATTTGAATTGATAGCTTTTCTTACTGTTTGAACAGGTACCACTGATCAGTACCGTAATGATTTAATTTGGCGCCCTTGTGCCAAAACCACCGCCTCTCTAATGAGCACCCCCCACCCCTTTCTAATAAGCACCCCTCTCTAATAAGCATCCCCTGTAATGGGCATCCTCTCTAATAAGCACCCCCTCTAATAAGCGCCCCCCGCTTCTAGAGACACCCCCTCTAATAAGAACCCCCTCTCTAATAAGCAACCTCTCTCTAGTAAGCACCCTCTCTAATGAGCACCCCTTCCAATAAGCACCACCTTCTTATAAGCACTTCCTCTTATAAGCACCCCCTCTTATAAGCACCCTCTCTGATAAGCACCCCCTTTAATAAGCACTCCTCCAATAAGCGCCTCCCTCGAATTCGTGTTTGATAATAGGCGCCGCTAACCTTATAATCACCCAATCGAGTATGAAGCACCCGTATTACAATAAGCGCCCTTATAGCAATTAGCGGCACTATTCTGTTTCAGTGATAGTACTGTTAGTATACCTGCACATTCAGATCGAAGGTGGTTCATCTTCCCTTGATTGCTTGATTGCTTACTTCAAACCTTACTATACTAAAACAGTGGTCATCGTCTCAGTCTCTCAACTATAATGTCCATGTGTGTGCACAGTTCCTTCAAACGAATGATCTCGCCTCCAAATTTTGCGATGACGATTGCTTTGCTGTTCGTTCTGGCCAGGAAAGATCCAGAGATAGCATGCCCGTTCATCAGTCTTCTTGATCCTTTTCAGATAAACATCAAAGCTTTTTTTCGCACAATTTGCTGTATCCCAAAAAATGAAATAAGTACCATGTCCCTTAATAGCGCCCCGTTTCGAATAAGCGCCTTCCCTCTAAGGACGGTATGTACCAGAAAACTCAACATCGCTGAGCCTTTTTCATACTTGATTTTTTTTCCGTGACGAAGAAAAGCTCTAAAGTTTGTCGAAGTGACAATTGCGTCTGACTTTTCAGGCTCTTAAGTCGAGGATGAGGGAAAGAGTATAACGGGAAGAAAAACAGCAAAAAGGGGGAGGGGAATTAATACAGTGATAGAGGAGTTGCATGTAGATTTACATGCCAGTGGGCTTCTAACTTTCTAATAGATTTAATTTTTTTTCCAGGGCATAAAGATGGTTTCTGGGAAAACGTCGTGGTCAATTTAGCAATGGCAAAGAAGAAGCTTGAAAAATACTAAATAAATAAATCAACATTATTACTTCATGATCTCTTGGTCGACTTTGGCTTCATGTGTAGCACCCTCATTCACAACTTCCTCAATTAAATCTTTCCGGCTCGTTCGGTTCGTTGCTCAATCTAAGACTACATGCCAGCACTTTCCAAAGAATCACTACTTTCACTACTTTCATAGTAATTTACTTTCTAAATTGTTTGTTTGTGTTTGAAGATATGTGAAGAGGAGCCCTGTTGTGTGGGAATTTTCTTTTCAGATTTCCTTTAACCAGCTTCAAGATATCAACTGAATGGAAATTCCATCTCCAGTTTTAAAAACCATATAATTTTCGTTTAAGGTAGTAAGAAGTGCATTATAATAAGATAATGACATTGACTGCGCCTTATGATTTTCAGATTTCTCTTACCAGTTTAAGGATATCAGCTAAATGGAAATTCAATCACCAGTTTAACGATATCAGCTAAATGGAAATTCAATCACCAGTTTAAAGATATCAGCTAAATGGAAATTCAATCACCAGTTTAAAGATATCAGCTAAATGGAAATTCAATCACCAGTTCCAAAAACCATATAATTTTCATCTAAGCTAATGCGGAGAAGTATATCATTATGAAATGATGACATTGACCACGCTTTGTCTCCCAATGATGATCTGCCTTAACAATTAGATGCCACAAAAAATTTATATTTTTGATGCGAATAATGAGTCAGAGTAGCAGCTTCTTGTGAACCGCACGATGTGGTTTTCGCGAGTCGATAGCTTGCGGCCAGATCACCATGTTGATTTTGAAATAGAAGCGTCGATGGTCAGCTTCTTACCTCTTGAATTTTTTTGCCTTTTAAATCTAAAAATACGGTAGTAGAGATGTAGTTTTTAGATACACTTTTATAAGCAAAGAAAGAAATCACTCGGTAACAGATCCTTTAAGAAAAGTAGACGGTACTGTTGTCTTTTCACTGCTGTCATCAAACCAATGATCATCAAAGAGGTAAGTCTATAATAGTTAGATCGGTTCTTTTAAACCTTGTCTATCGGCTTATCTGCGTACATCACTCAAATCCATTTTGTTGAAAGTGAATCACAAGAATGAGCTAGATGTTTCAAGAGAGAATAAAAACCATTATTTTCTCTTGACTATTTCAAGTGTTTTTGTCAATAAGAAAATTTCCCAGAAAGTGGAGACATTGATAAGCTTACGCGTAACCTTACCCTCCCCCTGCCGAGTACGGCTACACGTAGGCTAAACATGCACCAATTTTGAAGAAACTTACTGCTGATGATGGCCTTAATAAGATAGTCGAAAAGCTTTAAAATTGTTGGCTGTGTAAAAATAATCTTATTTCTATTCAAAAGAGTAAAAAAAAACTGCGAATACTTGTGGAATATTGGGAAAGTGGCTCTAAAGTTGTGGGTGCTTTCGATTGGTAAATCCGAATTAGAATTTTGAAATACAGATTTTGTATTTAAAAATGAAAAGCAAAAACGGATTTCGATGATGAAAAATCTGTCCTCAAGATGGATTTTCATTAAAAAATCCAAAGCTATTTTTCTTTTCTTTTTATAGCCAACGGTTAACCTCATTGAGACCCCTCCTAGAAGAGATCCTTTTTGGATTTCCCGGAAAAAGGCAAAACATAGATGAGATCCAGAGCTGGATTTCTTAATTGAGATCCACTTTGAGGATGAAATTCCCTGCGTTGAAAGACGTGTGTTACCGCAAAATCCGAATTCCCGATTTCAAAATCAAAATCCGGATTCGTCGAAGTTAAGCACACAGATTTCTTTAAACACGGAGTCTTCTTTCTGATTGGTCTAGACTACATGTAGCTCTCGACCCAGTTTCTTAAAAGCCACATTCAAAATGGCGCATGAAATGTCGTGAAGTTAGAACTGAAAGAATCGATGTCGCACTGAATTGTCGGTTTATTTCGACAGGTGTGTTATGTTTGATAACGTATGATGGTGACCTGTTCTAAAAAACTTGTCTCACCTTCACTTTATACATCGGATGTGTGAAGTAACGTCTTTCTACCAAGATGAAATTCTAATGTTTACAAGGAACCCCTCGACAGGTGAGAAATCTTCAAAGAACTTTCAACCTTTTCAGTGTCTATGAAATGTATCTTACTACATAGGAGCATTACGTACTAATTTTTTTAACATATTTTGAAAGCACCGATCACCGAGAAATGGGGTGATGGACAAAACAATGTCCTTCAGTCCATGGACTTAACCCCGTTGGACAACTCAAATGAACTACCCTAGCAATTGCACCAACCCTTCGATGTTTTTTCGTTTTGTTTTCGCCAGTCACAACGAACACCACGAAATTTAGGCGATTATTTTAGAAATTCAAAACCCTTCCTTCGAAATATAGCGTGGTCCAAGTGATGTTACATTCTTCAATATCGGTCACGAAGTAAGGCGAGAAATCGATAATATGAAATGTCCTTTAGTATTAATATAGATTGACGCAGATACAAAATGTATTTATACGACTTGCACAGCCATTTTAAGCTGCATTGTATACATATTTATGGTCAAGAAGGGCAAACCCTTTTTGATGATTTATTGCAACAATGATTGCGGGTTAATTCCAATGGATCATTAGATCAATGGATCAGTAGATCGATGGAACAGTAGCTCAATGGATCAGTAGATTAATGGATCAGTAGATCGATGGATCGGTAGATCAATGGATCAGTAAATCGATGGATCGGTAGATCGATAGATCGGTAGATCGATGGATCGGTAGATCAAGAATTTTTCTTGGTTTGTCAGTTTCTTTAGTCAAGTAAATAAGATTCGGCTTGTCATTGAAAATAGCAACAGACAAGTCATCTGCTTTCAAGTGGGCCTGTTCGTACCAGAAGAATGTCTTTTTCTGGTACCAGATGTCTTGTTGTGGGATCCGCTGTTACATTTTCCAGAGCTAGTCCTTCTCTGTCCGTCATGCGATGAGACAAATACTCAAGAGACCCTCAACCTCATTCGTTGGAAAGATGGTAGTAAGGACTACGACCAACCACGTCTTCTGTATGGCCTAAGAAACGATGTGCTGCTCGTTGGACGAGTCTACCTGTGTCGAAATAAGCACCAAATTCTTAGTCACGATCAAGGCATTTTATATCAATTGAGAGCTGGTTTTCAGCCGCCATTTATGTTATTTCACAAGATAGGAGTCACAAGAGAGTTGTTCCGGTTTTTCATCTCGCACATAAGCGCGGGGATGACAATTTCCGATGTCCAAGTCCTTTGGCATCAAAGTCTGTTTGACGAGTATGGTGTACGAAAGATGAGTTTCCTCACGGAGAAGAACGAAAGCCCAGAAGCATTTCCAAGTTTTTCACCGAAAGGCATCAAGGTTGGAGAAAAAGTTTCAACATGCTGTTATATTATGGGATACTTTGAAAAAGAACATCTGTACCACAAAAGAATGTGTCAGATGAGAGCTTCTTCATTAAGTGCTGATCATACATTTAAAGTGTCTGCAAATATTGGCTTTTGGTGTGAGGGAAAGTGGATACAGCTGTATGACAGTTTATTCATAGTTATGAACGAAATCGGCATAGTTTTAGCCTGGAAACTTTGCAAGGGAACAGCTTTCGATAAAGTTAAAGATCTGTTGACCAGTTTAAAAGACAGACTTGCCTCTAAAGGTTGTGTTGTTAACCATTTCTATATTGACAACTGTTGCAAGTGGAGGCATAAACTGAATTCTGTTTTTGATGAGGTGTCTATAAAGCTTGATCCTTTTCATGCAATACAGAGAGTAGTGACAAAAATACCAAAGAAGGGTGGCAGTGGGCCACTTCAAAAGCTGCGCACACAAATGCTGCATGACTTTAAATTGATTCTGAGGGACCCAACAGACCATGGAATGAAAAGATCAAAGTCAATTCCATCAGTGAGTATTATTGAGAAAAACATTGATAACTTTCTTATACAGTGGAAATCTGTAGAATATGAAGGAACAAAGGTTATCCCCCAGAGTGCTATTAATGAAATTGAAAAATTATTAGTTCATGTCCGAAAGGATTGTTTGTCAGATATTCCACCTTCTGGAGGTACCAGTCGGAATGAAGGAATTCATAAAGTTCTTAACAAAACTCTGAGGAAGTCAAGAATTGGAATCCAATTTGTATTAGCACTTCTTGGCATTTTCTTTTATATGTGGAATGAGAAGAAAATAACAGCAACTGAAGACCAAAGAAGAATAAGGGTGACTCCACCAATTGAATCACATTTTGAACATTTGGAAAGCAATCAAGATGGATCTGGTAATCATCATTTTGGAATAACTGATCAAGATGTGGTCCTACCAAAAACTGGAGACTTTGGCTTATCTTCATATTGTAGTAACCATGGACAAGATAATACTCAGGGAGAAATTGTGGAACAATTAAGTAACTTTTTAGATGGCATGTCATCAAACATATCCTCAGATGAAGATGAACCCAGTGTTTCTGAAACTATCTCACCACCACCCTTTCCCAATTTGAGCAAACAGCAGCAGCATAAAGTTATGAAGTCAGCAAAGTGTATGGCAGAGCTTTGTGAACAAATTCAGTCACTTGGCCAGTATGCAAGATTTAATCCAAACTATTTGTTCTTTACAAAAAGTAGCTTGACACTCTTCCACTCTGGTTTAGTTAGCAACAAAAAGTCTTCCTCACTTGATAATGTTCTATCAAATTTCAACATGGTCCGTGTTAATGTTCCACCAAATGGTAACTGTTTCTTCCTGGCTATTGCATATGCAATAGTCAATCGCATTATTCCAAATAAAGCAATATCAAATGATTTAGTCAGCCATCTGGAGTCACTTAGACTGATGAACTGCAAAGACACAAATAAAATGAGCCATAAGCTGCGAGAATTAATAGTACATGAGTGGATCTCTCACCCAGAGGATTACCAGCCCTTCCTTGGTGTTGGACAATTGTTAGACCATGAAGCATCTTTATTTCTTAATGATGGTCATTTCGCATCAGAGTTAGGCAATTGCATGGCACTTGCAATGGCAAATTTACTCAATCTTCCAATTGTAGTAATCACACAAATGGAAAATATGTCAGTTGTCCCAGTTACTCCAAGGGAAACTCTTCAGTGCCTACCAATCTTTGTCGCATTTGATCATGCAGGTGTGGGTCACTATGATGCTGTGGCACACAGTACAAGCCATTCAGTGGTCAATGAAACACAATCATGTTCAGTCAGCAGCATAGCTACCAATCCTGAATCTTGTCGTTGTGGTCAAGGCGCAAGAAAAAAAGAATCCAATATCACCTCTTGTGATCACTTCAAAAAAAGGTGCAAGTGTTTTCAAAGTGTGAAAGGTTGTAATGACTACTGCCAGTGTCTTGGGTGTGAAAACCCATATGGAAAAAAGGCAAAAGCAGAATACAATAGTTATCCATCCGAAACAAGTAAAAGAAAACGACGAGCACAGGAAATGACAACAGAGAGTATGTCTGGAAAACACTTTCTGCTTAAAAGAACCTGCTTGGAGAGTGTTAGCAGATGGACACTTCTTGAAGAGCTAGCCCTTATCCAGATTGTACAGTCCTCATTAACTGCAGCTGGCAGTGATATTGATATTGATGTCATTGCAATGCAATACTCGCAGCTGGTTGATAACTCTAGAATTCATCCCAAGTCTCAGGCTAAAGTTTCTGGAAAGGTAATTTCTTTTATGAATGACGATAGAGTTTATAAGGCCTTGTTAAAGGAGCAAGTGAGGTTGAATTGGTTCTGTTAGTTTGGTGCACAGTAAGATTCATTTAGTATGACATTCCGGAAAACTTATCAATTTCTAGTACATTGAAAAATGCTTATCTGATTGCATGCATGTATATTTCCAAATCTAAGAACTGTAATCAGGAAATTAGACATGTGTGTAGATGTGTAGTTCCAGAAAATATTTTTTAGTTTGGCATTGTACACCACTCAGGAAATTCCACTTCAACTTTATACTTTTCTTCTAAGATTTCCCCCACCCCCTTTCCACACCCACAACTCCTAGGAAATTCCACACTGTCTGTGGATAGAGTATTGCTACATGTATCTACTGGAATAACAAAGACGGGAAAGGAAAGGGGGAGAGGGAGAAAAGGGAGGGGAATGTCTGCTATAACAACACCAGTTTTTATTCTGCCCATCAATTTTACCCTAATCCTGTTATGTCTTCTACCAAGATCAGCACTAATCAGAATATTCAAATAGTGAAAAGGATAGGTGCAAGAATGCAGCTTGATACTAGTTAATGTGTTACTAATTGTTGGTTTGGGGAATCAGTATTTTGCAGCTGCTAGTGGCTGCAGAAATGAAGAAAAGGGGTTTCTTATAGCAGATGCTCCCCACCCTCTTTGCCAGTCTCCCTCTTTTTACCCCTCATTACGCCTACTAAGCAGCCTACAGAATCTGTATAGCACAGTAAGTCTGCAAGACTGAAACAAACTCAACGTCCAAGCCTATTTGTAATTAAATTTGGATAAGATGTGGCATCTGTAACTGATCTAAAGTCTGCTGGATTTGGAATGCCAAGATTTAAACCAGTTGCATTTCTGATATGCCAATATGAACATGCTTATAAAACATGGGGGGGGGGGGGGAGGAAGTGCAAACTGTTTATTATAAAATAATTTGCATCTCATCAACCATGCCAATCAGACCGAATCACAGTCATTATCCCATGCTGGTTGTTATAATTGAATGTGTATGGGGTGATTAAATATTACTGCAACTACCCATCAAATCCTGCTTTCAGGTAGTCAATAAGTTCTGTATATAAAAATCACATTTGTTTTGTTTTGCCTGGTTTTGTCCAGGGTTTTAGATAACATGAGGAATAGTTTACATGCCTCTTTGTGAAGAACAAAACATTAGCAGAGGATACTTACATATTTACTGAAGACTAAGTAAACCTGGTTACAATTTGTTTTGCTATGATATCTTTATTTTTGTTTCTCCCATCTGCTTAACTGTAACAAAGGTTTTTCTACAACATCAATTGAATAACAATTTATTATAAATAAATATTGTATTCAATCATGACATGTCTCTCATGACAATAAGTCTAGTAACATCCTCTATTTGTTAACATTAAAATTATCTTGGAAAAATGCTGTGTTTTACTAGATGTAATTTCAAAAACATGTGCAGAAGAATAAGAGTAAGTGAGGATTTCAAAATTCTTTTATTGGCGTTATTTTAATAAAAATTATTTCAAGCTTTGGGGGCATAATGTTATTGAATTATCATTAATATTTGAAACGTTGCTTTTATGGATATTATACACTTGTGGCACAAACTATGGAAAAAATAACCTTCTAAAAACCTTCCGAATACAGCCAAGTTAATATTTTTTTGTTATCATGCAATCAAACCATGTTCTTCTGCTAATAATTTCTGAAATGCTTTATACCAAAGTATAATTTTTTATCTTAAAGCCCATGATAATCAATAGCTTAAAACTGGAGCACAACTTATAGCAAACATTTTAATCATCATGACATACTTGAGGCATACTTAATGCTGGCCAGTAAGCGATCGCTGTACTATAAATGACTAATGCAATAACTGTTAAAACCCATTCAAGCCCGGGTATTGTGGCCCTGTCGCAAATCAACTGAAACTGAAACTGACTTTTACCTAATCATCATTTGGAGAAACTACACTAATTTTCCCAAGTAGCAGTGCTATGCAACTCTTTTGTCCTTTTCAACATTTGGTAGGTTGACTAGCAGTCTACTCTGGGTAGGGGGTAGGATAGGGGGCTAACATTTTGCACTAAATGGATACAGTCTGACTAGAAGAATTACTCATCTAAAATTGGAGCCCCTTCTTGTTGGAGGTATGCCCTCAGCTCGTTTTCCTGTGGGTGATTTTCGAGCGTCTTATCCCTCTGGGAGGAGGGAAGAAGGTCATCCTTCTTCAAAAAATTTGCTTTATAATCTTCAAGGGACAAGTTAAGAGCACCAAGATGATGTTCAGAATTAGCAAGGGTTAATGGTAGCGCTTTATAGAAGAACGTAGACTTCTGTACCTTCTTGAAACTACCAAGAGATTCATTGGTCAGTTCTTGAAAACACTGTTCTGTGACTTGAGGGCTGGGTCGCGAACTTGAAGAAAAACTGTTGTAGACGCGTTTTGCACTGCAAAACGGCCCAGGTAAGCATAGAATTTTCTTCTTTATGTCACGTTAAGCTGACACAATACCTTCGCGGGTCCTTCGAAAAAAAATCGAACGCGTGTTGTTTCGAAGTTAACTACCACAAACTATATATCAATAGAAAGGTTATGAACTGCAGATTTCGAAAAAAAATATCCACTATGTATGCAGAGCCTTCTTTAAGAAGTTAGAAGCCAGTAAACAGAAAAAGATCGATTGACATTCCGCTGAATTAATCAGGTATCAAACACCATCGCTTCTTCAAAAGTACTGCACAGTATCAATCAGCAAGGATCAGTCTCTAAATGTGTGTCAGGATTTCTCTGGTTTCTTATTGGTTATCTTTTTATAGACACGCAAAGTTTTTGTAGCGGATAATTTGCCGACCCTGTGGCGTTTGCGGCCGTAAAATGAGAAATATCTAAATTAAAGCTAATCCCCGACACGCTTTTATTGTTTGATGTTTAATGAATTTTCAGGCCAAATTTCATTAAAATCTGTCGATTCTACACATGTCACGCCTTCACCTGAGATGTATGTCAACATGACATGCCAAGCCAAGCAATTCCAATGGTGTGACAGTCACGTTCTCCTAATTATAAAGTTCACCTGGCGATCGCAATGGGAAAATAAGCAGACGAAAAATACGGTTGAGTTTCATTATACGTGTTTTCTTCGAGTTGCACGTTTGAAGGTTGATCAAACCAAACAACACCCAAGACACTGTCGAACTAGCATTCCCTTTTGCGTTCATTTTTTCGCTGCGCAAGGACTTTTCTCTATTCTTTAGAACTCGTTTCATGATTTCAGTGTAGTCAACTTTAAGTAAAGACAATTGAAGAGCCACGTAGTGAAATCGCATGTAACCAAAAGAAATGCTTATGAGTTCTCGGAATAAGAGCTCCCTGCACGAGGACATTTCGCACGGAAAGTTCGCCCGGGAGTCAAGGCACTGTGAGGAATATGGCACCTATCCATATTCTATTAACTTTTATATAAAAATTTTATGTAAAACCCCTTTTTTTCGAAATATCTCGTGCGCGTTTTAAGATTTTGCTTTCCTTTTTTGGTAATGTTAGATTTTCAGTTTCAGTGGGGAGACAAATTTTCGACAAAAAGTAGCCCTCTGAAGATATAGTGTACCCTACTGATCCACTGATCCACTGATCCATCGATCCATCGATCTACCGATCCATCGATCTACCGATCCATCGATCTACCGATCCATCGATCTACCGATCCATCGATCTACCGATCCATCGATCTACCGATCCATCGATCTACCGATCCATCGATCTACCGATCCATCGATCTACCGATCCATCGATCTACCGATCCATCTACTGATCCATCGATCTACCGATCCATCGAACTACTGATCCATCGATCTACCGATCTGGCGATCCATCGATCTAGTGATCCATTGATCTAGTGATCCATACTGATCTTCCATCGATCCATTGAACTACTGATCCATCGATCCATTGATCTTCTGATCCATTCATTAGCGATCAAGCGATCATCTGTCATAGATGCTGTGACGTCAGTTGTGAGGTTTTTACACCGAGGATAACCCGAATTTCGTCATGTACACAACGATGAATTCTGATTCAAACTCAAAGTCTCTTTTAAATTCAGTGTAGAGCATTAAGGATGCCTGTCACACTTGACACCATTGTGAAAATCTGCAAAATGCTGACCAAGAATGTCACTACAAAACTGATTCTAGTGAAGGAGTCAAAAATATTTCTCATTCGACATATTGTGCAGGTACTCAACAAAATGCTATTTTGTCAAGAATAAGAGGAGTTTTGACATGTTGAACTTTTCTTGAAATGCTTTTGTTACCAGGGTGACATCAAAAGTCAAAATCCAATTTTAGTCCATAATTGCCTCCTATAATCTTACATACTACACGTACAAGTCATGAACCAAACCAATTGGATGTATTTTGTGTTTAATTACTTTAGGTGGCAGAATATACTTAAAAAATGTTTGATTCTTTGTTGTTGTTGTTAATAATTAACAAAGAATAAACAGATGTGGCCAACCTCACTCATTGGTTGGTATGTAGAGTGGTCCAATTACTTCTTGCTAAATTTGAGCAGTTTATGAATGGTTCTAATGATGATTACTGATGATAACTATTTTACTAATGACCTCCTCTTCTGATGGATTCCAACCAGAGGGTCCCCTCAATATTGAGCCTATCATGTTTTGATTACTCACAGTTAAACCCCATCAAGGCCTTCATTAACTGGTTTGCAAAATTTTAAGTCAAATAAGGACTTCCTCTACATGTGAAATGCGATAATTGTTTTTACAGTTGACATCAGCTTTAACCCTTTAACTCCTAAGATCTCATTAGTAAGGAGAAATTCTGTCTTGGTCACACATGGGAGTTAAAGGGTTGACTACAATTATGAAACTGTACTGTCTCTCAGTTTGAATTCAACACCCATAGCATCACTATAAACAAGTGTAGAATACAAATTAATAGCAGGCACCTCTTGATATGTACATACTTGTATTGTCAAGGTCTGAACTCCATTTGGTTTGAACAAATCAGTTAGATATTGACTGTGGAT